GAAGTACAAAGATAGCGACCATCGGATAAATATGATATCCTATGATTTTCTCGGCTATCATTTTTATCCACTCTTGGATATCGCCGATCTCCACTCATTCGCTGCGCTCACTCGTGGAGATGAGCGATATCCACTCATGGATAAAAATGATATCCCTCAAAAATCATAGGATATCCTCTATATATGAAGATTTGAAAAAGGCAAACGTAGCCGTAACCGTATTTACCAGATTTATGCGCAGTCAGTTTAATTTATACGTGAATCGATACAGAAAACACGAAAAATGAGGCTTTTCTACGTTGGTCATTTACGTATCCCATTTTATCCTTCGATTATATTGTTTTTAGTTCTAAAGGTATCACTGCATGAACAAGCACAGTGTGTTATGTATAATTTGGCTTAAAGGTGAATGGATTTGTTTATTGTTTGATATATATCTAGTTTTTCAAATGGTATGTTCAATTCATATTACACTTTATGGAATGGTATCGCAATAATTACAAGTAATAAGTACATGTTTCGCACAACGTTTTAGCTACCCGTATCAAAATCCGTAACGCATCGATGGAGTAAAAGTGTACTCAATACGTTTGTCTTACCGACAACAATACCATCTTGTTTCATCAAGCTTCGGATAGAACGTAGTGATTGAAAATAGTAGTTTTCACTACTATTAAACACGAATTGAGATGCATTTATAATTACGTAATTCAAAAAACGAACTGCGAAACGAAAATTATCGAAATACGTTTCCGTAAACGTAACAAGATACGGATGCGGATACGTTTCAGCTAACCCGTTGTGCGAAACCTCTCTATTACATGTACATGACCGCATCCACATATTTCGACTAGCCACAGTGTCAATAGGATCAAAAGGACCATGTCGAACATTCGATTGTTCAACAAATTAACAATACAGGCTGTATCTCTGTTCTCTACTGTTTCCTCTGACTTTATTTCTAGAATCCAATATGGCTGCGCCCAAATGCGCACAGTGGTGTCAAGGTATGAGTACCGTAATCCAACACCAAATTCGAAAATTCAGAACAATACTTTGCACATATGGCGTTCCTGATCAACTATAAAACGCTTACCCCCCATAGTGTTATATATCAAAATGTACCTGTTCATATAGGGGTTCGATTGATCTACATCAAATTATAGGGAGTCATGTTACTTTTTGAGATATCAGCGTCCATTTATTGTAACTCGCGTTTGCTACCATTTCCTCAATTCTTAGACGACGGGCAAACGCGTAGTAAACATGCTCACGTCGGAACTATTTTTGACCTACATCGCTATTTTCGTAATTCAAATGAAAGATTAACTCCTCCTCTTTATTTTGATACCAAATAGTGGCATACTAGGTACCCCAGAAGCCAACTATGGCGTTATTTAGAACAAAACCACAAGTTTTTAAATGGACTATATAGGGGTCATACCTTTTGGCGGATGGATATGGAACCTCATACCTTAACATTTTATGACATCACACTAATTTTTGTCTCTGCAACTTTTTTGGGCAGAAAATATCATTTTTACTTCAAAAATGCATAAAAACGTCGGAACTGGCTGAATATGTGAAAAATTTCTAGAAAGGGTTAATTTGCCCTACCCCAAATACGTCTAAATATGCTAGTCTAACTTTGCCACTGTGACGTCACAAATCTAACCTGACTATCTCTGAGTTTATTGAGGAAAATGATACGTCTGACAAACAGCTTTCATTCCCTATATGGCACACCTTCTACTAAGAGTTGCATCATTGACTAAATCTACGACAAAGATCCTATGTCCCGAGGATTTTGACTGAAATTTGGCCATTTTCGCCCAAATCTAAGTAAATAGCAGTTTCCCCCACAGCTGTATTTCGAAATAAATATTGCTACAATGTAGCAATTTAAAAATCACATATGCTTACTGTTTCTGTTGACCTGACACGTGTATCTAGCCTGTCAAAATGAAAAATCGCTACATTGTAGCAATTTCAGTGAGATGTGGGCCCTCAAAATCATGTAATTTTAGCAAAAAATGAAGAAATAACCTGCAATTTTGACGGAATTTCAATGGGCTTTCTTTCATGTATGACCCTCCAAGGGCCTCTTATGACCAATCTTATACGCACAAAAGGGTTGAAAGTGATTTTAAATCATTGTTTGCCCTACGCAGAACGAAAAAAAATCGATTCTGTTCTCAAATTCTGCTAGAATATTGGTCTCTGGCCAACTAGCAGACAATTTTAGGCCTCATATTAAGGTATGAGTACCGTAATCCAACACCAAATTCGAAAATTCAGAACAATACTTTGCACATATGGCGTTCCTGATCAACTATTAAACGCTTACCCCCCATAGTGTTATATATCAAAATGTACCTGTTCATATAGGGGTTCGATTGATCTACATCAAATTATAGGGAGTCAGGTTACTTTTTGAGATATCAGCGTCCATTTATTGTAACTCGCGTTTGCTACCATTTCCTCAATTCTTAGACGACGGGCAAACGCGTAGTAAACATGCTCACGTCGGAACTATTTTTGACATACATCGCTATTTTCGTAATTCAAATGAAAGATTAACTCCTCCTCTTTATTTTGATACCAAATAGTGGCATACTAGGTACCCCAGAAGCCAACTATGGCGTTATTTAGAACAAAACCACAAGTTTTTAAATGGACTATATAGGATATGGAACCTCATACCTCAATAGACGTGACGACAAACAATATTATTATATACCCAATATGTAACACTAATCCTGATTGGTCAATACCTAGTCACGTGTTCCGAAATAGATTTACTATTTCCCTCGGAAAGTTATATTCCCTCAAATGTGACGTCAGCGGGAATATACATTTGAACTATTGCCCGCTGACGTCACATGCGCAGACGAAAAACAGAAAAATGGAGGATGAGCACAACACAAATCAACTCCGTTCACCATGACAGACGTGCGTGAACGATACAGTATAAGCAACGTGTATAAAGTTCCCTAAGCTCAATACGTCTGTGTAATTTCAAGTGTTATGATAATCTATTCCGCGTGTTAAACGCGATTGGATTTGTCAAGTGAGAGTCTCAGAGGCAAAAATTTCTGTTGGGCATCTGATGACGTCACAGCTTATAATGCTAACAATGGACCCGGGGAGGGGGCTTTCTAAGCCTTTTTGGCCTTCGCAGAGGAAACGGGACAAGAGTCAGTATAGGGTATATAATAAAACAAATAGTGACTGCCTAATTTCGAGCAATAGTTTTAATGATTTCCCCTTGGGAATATCTGTTACGCGGTATATGGCATACATTCATGGTTGCGCGGTATTTGTGATACGGGTGAATATGCCATACTCACCTGCGGTATATGGCATATTTCGCAGGTGAGTATGCGATATTCCGCAGTGAATATGCGATACATTGATTTCAGTGAATACCCGATACTCACCTGCGGAATATGTCATACTCACTTGCGGAATATGCCATATACCGCAGGTGAATATGACATATACCGCAGGTGAAAACGTGATACAGAAAGCCTTGATTTGATTGGTTGCGAGAATCGACACTAAATGTAAAACTACGCTGGATTACCAATAAAGTTAGTGCGTCGAGTACTAATATATAAATCCTGGATTGATTGAGAAAGTTTAATACGCGAGATTGGTGACTAATACTTCTGCTAAGTTAATATATTCGATACACAGTACTGTTGATTCAGTAATCATTATAATAATTTATAACGTTTTACTTGTTCGTTCAATCGATGCCATTGACAATTTCGTACTTCCGTATCGCGTTCTCATTGGTTAGTGTGTATGCCATATACCGCAGGTGAATCTGTCATACACCGCAAGTGAATATGCCATATTCGTTGCGGAATATGACATATTTTTGTATCGTGTTTACCGCATAACAATATCCTCTACAATGTACTTTTCCCTCAGCCTGCGGCTTCGGGAATAGTACATTGTAGAGGATATTCCCTCGTTGAAATAATTTACACTATTGCCCTCAATGGCAGTCACTATTTGTATACTATAAGATATTGAATGATTTGAAGTGCAATACAGGATATATTCTGGTCGAGAAATTCTGTATTGGCACGAGACGAAGTCGAGTGCCAAAACAGAATATCGAGACAGAATATGTCCTGTATTGCACTTCAAATCATTCAATAACGTTTTTATCGTGTGATCCTCTGTATTGCTACTGAGATTGTCCCCTCCGTACCAATATTTTCTGTATTGCAACGGAAATGATCAACGGGGACAATCTCAGTAGCAATACAGATTAGTACAGCACAAGAACTGACCAATCAGAGGGCTTCATTTTTACAGATCATACGATAACATATTATACAGTAGCGACATTTTTTAATTAAGAAGAACATGATATTACACTATCTATATAAACTGTAGTCATGTAGGAAAAGTACAAATGGATATACTTGAGCAAAATAGAGGCTCTAAGTGCGCTCCTTAGTGATTTTTAAATTACCTCTTTTACACTAAGGTTTCAATACACTGTTGGAAAGCTAAGAGTGTCAGCTTTAAGGATCTAACCTTAACTCGAATTTCACTGAATGCAAAATTAGATATTAACCCTTTCACCAACAAGGGGTAAAATGAAATAATCAACCATGCTTTTTCAATCAAAATATATTTTGACAATCGGTTTCTATCTAAATGTCCTAAGCAAAAGAGTTTGTGGGCTAGGCAACACAAAACTATATAATTATGATGTTTACACCTTAGGGTTTTGATTATACTTTCTCTTTGAAATTACCACCCAATTATCCATGAAAACGATGCCAAGTTTCGTTTTTCATAATCTTTATTGATTTTCATATAAAACAGGAGAATGTACTTTATTAATTTAATAAAATCATCCGATTAATGCATACATTGGGATCCCAAGGTATAGTCCAGTTCTTTTTTAACTTTTAGCTTAACTCTGTTGTAAGTTTCTTGCGTTAATCAAAATCTAATAGCTATTTTTATTTTCATCAGCATTTTGATTCTTCGCTAGTGGGCTGTATATGTTGGAACTTCGTATCTCGGAAAACATCTCTCTCTACTCCCATGCTTCCATTCTCCTTAAATAATAAATAGTACAACGTTTTGAAAGTCTGCGTCTACTGTAATAAATAGTACAATAACGTTATTTTAAAGGGCAATATTACAGGGTGTCCGGAAAGTAAAGATACAAATGCTCTAATTTCAATAGATTTACCTGTTGTGAAATGAAATTGCTACAGATTGTACAGTCTCCTCCATAAGTTTGGCAACCCTTTTTCCCCCATTGACCTACGTGTTAAAGCCTCCTTACCTTTGAATTTTTATTTACTTAACCTGCGATGAAAATACTTATACTATTGATGGAAACGTAATTTGACTTTAATTCCAATACCTCCAAATTTTCTCAATTTTTTTCCTCAATTACAGTAGGTCGAAAATTGATGATGAATTTGATGAATTTTTGAAAATCGACATTCCCATGTTAACCAATGGGAAATGGTAGGTTTGCCGCAAGTCATATGACAGAATATCCATCCATCCGAGTCCTTGCAAAAAATACGAGTTAGGCAGGTAATTGAATTTGCTAACTTTATTTAACAAAAAGTTGATATGTTTCTTCAGGTTCAACAAAGTTATAGAGCTTTAAAGTCAAAATTGTTTTTCAAAAAAACTCTCCCATTGAAATAACACAGGAGGCGAAAAATTCTTTTCAAAAATGACTTTGAAGCGCTGTAACTTTAATATTCATCAAATAAACTAAACACTTAGTGTTCAAAAAATTAGACAATTCTATTTTCTATATAAAAATATTTTTTGTTGGATCTTTTACTGAACAGATATCCTGATTTCTGATTTGCCCCGAACCCTCCATTTTCCATGGATTACATGGGAATGACGATTTTCAAAATTCATCAAATTTTTCATCAATTTTCGACCTATTGTAATTGAGGAAAAAAATTGAGAAAATTTGGAGGTTTTGGAAATAAAGTCAAGTTACGTTTCCATCAATATTATAAGTTATTTCATCGCCGGTTAAGTAAATAAAAATTCAAACGTAAAGAGGCTTTAACACGTAGTTCAATGGAGAAAAAAGGTTGCCAAACTTATGGAGGGGAGTGTAGAATGACATAATAACAATTTATCCTGCAACTGTCATGACATATTGTTTCAAAATGAAAAAGTTATGACTGTTATGGTAACAGGAGTTGGAGGTATGTGGAGCAACGTCACAATTGTGTTTTATAATTCTTTTTCCTGCTCATATCATCTTGGCACTCCATCATCTGTTCCTTTTTTACATCAAATTATGTATCACAACATCATAAGGCTTAGTACTGTAATATTATTTGGTCATTTGACATTACTTACTCCATGGACTGTTATCCAATACTATGTATTTCCCACCATTATCTAAACATTATTTTGTGGTGCATCTTGACCAGAGATTCAAAGACCTGACAATACCACTGCTTCCCATCTCTCAGATTGCTGATAACACTGGCTTCCAGCAGAGTCTCATTTTTATGTTGAACTTTTATACAAATATCACATTCAGATATTCATTGAACTGGAGTCTAACTGGACTATATCAGGGGAATATGGGACATTGTAAAAAGGTTTAATGTCAAGACATTCAATTATAGATTTGTTTTCTTTGCTTTGTGATTTGGTGCATTTTGGAGGTGCAATATTGACTTTCCTATCAATCCAGCAACCTCTTTTCCAAGCACTTGTATAATATTTCTTTCTTTATACTGGTTAGTAACATTATATAGTTCTGATATGTATCAATGATATCATTATACTCAAGAGAACACTATGGCAACAATAACACAATATTGGACAAAACAAAACATGGATAGAAAATACAAAAATAAACACTGGTTAAAATGGTTATATTCCTGCAATTTATCACATTTTAGCGATATTCTGGAACTGCTTCACATACCTCTCACCACCGTAACCATGGCAACCATAACTTATACACTTTTAGACAATATAGGATGAAAGTTGGTAGATATGTTGCCATAATGTTCCTCTACAATCTGTAGCAGTTTCATAACAAAAAACCTGAATCTCTCTAAATTATGGTATTTGTATCTTTACTTTCCGGACACCCTGTATAAGTTATTTGATGATTTGAAGTGCAATATAGGATATATTGGAACAAGACGAAGCCGAGTGCCAATACAGAATATCGAGACAGAATATATCCTGTATTGCACTTAAAATCATTTAATAACGTTTTTATCGTGTGATCTTAGGCCAATATATTTTATTCAGGAGATAATCCCTACTGTATTCTCTGTTTTGCTACTGAGATTGTCCCCGCCTCCGTACCAATATTTTCTGTAATGCTATGGAGATGATCAATGGGGACAATCTCAGTAGCAATACAGATTGATACAGCACAAAAACTGACCAATCAGAGTGCTTAATTTTACAGATCATACGATAAAATGAAATATTGGATCAAGTGCCGAAGGCCCAAAGTCCAATATTTCACTATATTGCCCTCAGAAATTACGTTATTAGTATTATTACCACCGTTTTTATGTCCAGGTCTGAATTAGCAAGAACTAAGTACCACTGAACGAAAATTATACGCATTGAACGATATCTCATTCCCCGGGGAACATTGCCGAGCGTTAATGCATTATTGGCCTGCCACTATGACGTTACATATTGCTCAGGTCAGTAGTAAAATAAATGCCTTCTAAACTAGCACCGATACCCCTAGAACAGGCTCGACGTGGTGGCAATAATATCAAAATGAGAAGGAGGAAGAATTACTTTATTAAACAATGCTAGTTTTAAATATGCAATGTTAAATACTGATTAAATAGTAAAACGTAAGCTACGTAGATTTGTATGACACTTATTTTTGTGTCATCTACCAATCGATTTAGAGCACTTGTTTTGTATAAATGTAGCTCAAATCGCTTGTATGCAGCTGAAATGTAGCTTTGCATACAAGAATCTCGTGTTACAAATAACCGTATAAATACTGCATATCTACGCACAAGTGCCAAAGTGAGAGGACCAAAAGCTACAAAAAAACTTGCAAGAAAAGCAAACTCAAGTGTAAACCTGTCATAAGAATACATATGCTATAGCAACATGTCAACGTTGAAGCGACACCTACCTGTCCTTGGTTGTCTCGACACCCACGACGTGAATTTTTGACACTGGGGGGACAACAACAACAAAGTGCATCACAGAATTGGAAAGTGTACAATTTATCTATGGGCCTCTTCTTTTCACCACCTTGAAATTGCAACGTATACAATTGAATTCCGAAATTCAAGATACATTTACGAATGCGAATTGCTTTAAAACAACCATTCCTTTATCATTCCTGATACTGTTATCATAGGATAATTCACTAATGCATTAGCGATTAAAAATTACCTGTTGCCCAACTGACTACAAGACCCACAACTGTAGCAATTAGAATCCCAAAAGGAGTATAGAGAAAGTAAGAAATACTGTACAAATGCTGGATCCCACTTCTATAAAACATTAAAACACATCATAATAAAAAATTGAAATATGTCACCAAGAATTTTCCATTCTTACTCGATTGAATCCTTGTTATGCATATTAATAAAAAAGAGAATTTAGACAAACGGCCATTCGAATTTGAGGAGAAACTAGTTTTTTTTAAATATAAACGAAAAAAAGTGATACATTGACTTTCCGACAGTATTGAATCAACATTTCAACATTCTTGAATACTATAGGCATAACTTACAATTCCTGATCTTTAAGCTCCGAATTAGAAATACTCGAATGATTCAACATCGATGTAGTATGTATTGTATCATCATACCAGGTAGTAACATTGCTGTAACCTGAACTGTTATAGATACTGCTTCCATTTGAAATATCACATCGATCTGTTGGGCCAGGAGGTAAATACTGATTATGGCCTTTAATGGACTGACCTCCGATGGCAATCCACAGGATGATCGGGAAAGATACCATTGGTCCTACTAACGCACCCTGGAATAGAATAAATTGTGCAAGAACAATATGGATAAGTTTGAGTTAATTCAAAAATTAAAGTGACTCAATCCCTAACAATACCCAACATTTCTCAAGCCAAACTCTTTAATACAGGGTGGTCAAGAAATGGAAACCCTGCATTTTCCTTATATCTTTGTTATTTTAAAAAGTTACTCCCTGATGTTTAATACATTTGTACATCATTCTATTTCCTACCACCCTACCATATTTCATGACCATCAGACTGATAGTCACAATTTTACAGCACTTTGAATAATGCTTCAGGTTTGGCCAACATCGCGTTATAGGCAAAACAGGCACAGTTGTCAGTGACCCAAATGCATTCCTCAGCAGGTATGGCCTGAATGACACGGATGATCTCACTTTTGAGGTTTGCAACTGTCCTGAGGTCATTCTCATATACTTTATCTCTTCCATATCCCAGGTAGGGACATTTTGGACGATGATTGCAGGTTTCCCGACAGTGCAATCTGTCCACCGGCCTATGTTCTTTAAAGTGCTGTAAAATTGTGACTATCTCTCTGATGGTCATGAAATCAAGTAGGCTGGTAGCATATTGAATGTTGTACAAATGTGTAGAATATCAGGGAGTTATTTTTAAAATGACAAAGATATGAGGAAAATGGTGTAAGGGTTTCCATTTTTTAACACCCTGTATATCATAATATACAATCGTTGATTACAACACTGTAGTACACGTCCTGGATGAAGAGAAGAATTAATGTTAACATTTACATTATATGTTTTAGAAATTAATTGATTGCGACAATAGCCTACCTTCCAGTTAGAAGTCACTGTAAATGCTGCAAGTATGAATATGGCGCAAGAACTCCCGTTTATCGCTCCACCTAAAGTTGCGTTGGCCTGTGTGTTTAAAAACAACAATTCAAAAACAAGTTTGCCAAGTCTTTTCTTCGTGTAAAATGTAAATGTTCTTTAGCAATTTGACAATTAATGAATATTATATTGTAAAATAATCATAATAATGCAATTGATCCATTCTGAAAATTGAAAGTGAAAGGGTAACCACATAAAATATAACATCGAGTTTACATCATGCTACTCTGTATGCTTTACCCTTTTGCTGATTAATTGTAAGTGAGGTATGCCTTGGGATCGTCAAAAACAACCAGGCTACACATGGGCCGTCGACGGATATATAATACAATTACTGGCACACAATTGTATTTGATGGACCCATAGGTCGAAAAGTATTTTAAATAAGCGACCACTCCGTTTATCTTAATTCACAAGGTTTCGATTGTTCCTACCTCATTATCAAATTGGGCGACGCTCATTAACGTGTAGATTAAATTCCGTTTGTTTACGCCTGTAAAAGTTACATTTCGGGCGGTGTATAACCACATATGGTGCTAAGATATCACGAACTCCCGTGCAGTGATATATCACTGCGGCGGGCAGGTATCTCACCGTAAGCATGGTAACTTCGTAATAAACAACTGACGTGATTGGTTGTAGTCCCATGCTCAGGTCGCGTGATTGTAAAATTTAGACAATTTCATTGGTTGAATTGCGCGTATTAACAAATAAACAACACTTGCGGTAAACTATTATCAACACGACTTTTACTCAGAATTCCTTCCGCCGTGATTTCTTCTCATATTTCAATAATTTTGAAATATTTTGACAAAATAATGATTGGGGAACATTCATGAATACATATTTCATAAGTTGTGTGAAAATTGACCACATATATGATGAAAAGGGGAACTATTTTCCCCAAATTTTGGGGATTTTCTTCATCTGCCCGCCGCAGTGTCTATACCGAGACACTGCATGGGAGTTCGAAGATATCATTTTTTCTGCCAATCAGAAAAACGCGAAAATAACGCGGCTAATTTTCGACCCCGTAAGGTCATCAAGTTAAGGAAGTAAAGTAAAAACTGTACACTTCTCGCACATTCTTGAATGAGTTATTCTTAATATTTTGACGTCTTGTTGTATTTCTGCTGAATTCAACTTAATTGCTTCGCTTTTACACTATTTTATGCATCTGCTCTTCTTTTCAGTTCCAAATCTCCAACTTTTACACTGCGCGAAGTATCACACGTGATTGAACGCGAGTGATTCACAACACGCGTAATTTACGTCAAGAAACGTGTAATTTATGCCTACAAAGGCGCAAACAAACGCCTGCATTCATCGATTAGATTCGCCAGCCATTGCCGACTCATTTACACATGCTATATGTGCACGCACCTGTATAATTGGTCCTTTTATAAAAATAGCTAAGCAAGCAATCCCTGTTGAGCAAACGCCATAGAACAGAACTGAAATAGAATTTGATGTAAGTGAGTAAAATCACGACATAGGATAAAATGAGGAAATACGTTATATCATACTATCCCGGGTATATTATTTTACTACATATTTATTTAAACTATTTTCTAAATTCACACTACCAAAAATAATTATTTTACACGGACACGTTTTAGACGTGTTTGTGTACGTTTTAGAACATCATATTACCCAGAAGCTTTGTACACAGTGCTTTCCTGGACTCCTTTAGATGTCTGAATCTGTGTTTGAGGAAATCTTCCCAGGTTATCGCCGAGAGAGCATTTAAACCTGACGATATGGAGCTGCAATAAACAGGGTGTCAAATAAGTCCCGTCCCCCCCTCTACAGCCAAATCTTAGATATTTGGTACCAAGTGTGATATATCATTGGAAAGGTCTTCCAAAGTTACGTTGATTGGCATATATCTAACACATGTCAATCAAGCTCACCAATTTTTACATTGTATCAATTGAGGTGACCATATGCCTAGAAACATGGCAATTTGGCGTATTTGGCCCGATTTTAAGAATTGGGTATTGGAAAGGTCAAGGGACCAAAATATGACTAAATATGTTTATGGCGATGAATTTAAGCAATTTCTGGATAGGGTTAGATGTTCAGAAAATAAAGGTGCAAGGAAAGTTGTGAAAACCTTTTTGTAACAAGTAAAATGCGAAAAAGATGAACTTTTTGACGTATTTCTGAGGTCATATCCTTGTCATTTTGACGCAAAAAAGCTACTAAAAGGAGGGCATATTAACTATAACAGACATAATAAAAATATAGGTAAATTTCATTCAAAATACTTGAGAGTTGGTGAGTTAACATAACTTTGGATGATCTTTCCAATGGTATATCACACTAAGTACCGTCTGTTAAGGTTCTAGCTGTAGCAGGGGGGACGGGACTTATTTGACACCCTGTAGAGGACCCCAGTGATTACTTATTTTCTGAGCATTTGAACTTTTGGACACAAAACATAATTTTACGTTCTCTTGCTGCACCAGGTATTTTGACAAAGTATTATACAAAGTCATGTAGTTATGATATTAAATCTATAAGATGATACAGTGTAAGGTTTGCTTGTTAAACTCTGGATAAAATCAAAGCAAAGTACCTTAGGGCTCCACTGAAGAGAGTTGCAAGAAATAGGCCTGGAAAACCAGGGAGGCTCCTAAATGTGTCCATCACAAAATATGGCAATATCTAGAAATATAATATATAAATATTTGCAAAATCATTGCACAATCGTTTATTGCAGTCGACATATTTTCAATTTTAATATTATGAATGTCCAGTGTACCTTTAAAGTTGGCCCAAAATAAAATATATTTATCCTAATGAGTCAAAGGTTTCATTCTGATGAGAAACATTGGAATTGTAGCCAAATTGAAACTAGATAATATTGGACAAACTAATAGATTTCTCAGATGTTTTTTAAGGATGGATGGCCCAAAACAGACAACGAAAAATGCATTTAATAAATTTAACACAGGGAGCACACGTGTCTCACATAGTGTTATTACTCGGTGAATACCCTGTATAACTACATGTACTTTCATGAGAATAAAAGTTCTTACACTATACTATACTTTATTATACATAAATCTCGTAGACTATACTAAGGGTACTCAATTTGCAACGGGATGATCCGAAATGTTCTGAAATGTGTTTTACCTGATTTCCTGTTTTAATATAGCCCTGTTCAAGTGGATCACACCCAATGTGTGTATAGTACGCAAATATGACAAGACCCGCGAAACAAACTAATGTAGTTAATGTAAACTGCATTGGAATGGCCAGCATAACAGCTCTATAAAGTATAGTATGTAAAAGTGACATGTTTTCTGTTTTCTAAGAAAATGTAGAATCGATATTTCTAAATCAGCACAAACATGAGTTTAAGTGTTGGGATATTGGTGCGTGTTTCACTTGACTGACACTTTGTTATTCGCATAATATTACCTTTTATCAGTAATGTCAGTGGTTCCATAAACATAAGTTGTACTCACATATTTGCCTTCTTTAGTGTGGGAAGTGAGCAAAACCTCTGAACACTGGCTTGACTGGTTCCATAAACTTTCCACCAGAGGATCGTATTTGCAAGTGTTAATGTCCAAAATGTATTGATTTTTCTTGGATCGAAATCAAAACTATAAAATAATCACACCCTATTTCAATATCTGATATGCCTGTTTTTGCCCACATATTTTTTCATAAAGAGCTATTATATCGTGATGAAAGATTTAAGTGGATTACTTACTCAAAAATATTGAGTCGATTGTGTTCCTGGCAAATCGCAAATACTTTAGAAACACTTCCAATTCTAACAATACCCTAATGAAAATAAAACAATTTACTAATTACAATATTCAACTGCAGATTTGTAACGGGTGATGATTTTGAACAACACGTTTTCAGTTTTATTCAGTTTTCTTATTGCTTCCTAAAATGATTGCATAACGATTATTAATTAGAGATAGAGATGAAGACAATGAATGCAAATTCAGGTTACCATGACAACAACTGTCAGAATACCACCTAACATGATGACCGATTGGAAAACATCCGTCCATATGACTGCCTTCAATCCTCCCTATAAATACATAATCAATTTGCATATTAATATAGTTTGTTACCCGATTGACACTTACTCGTATTAAGGTCAGAAATACAGGGTTAAATAGTTATAAGTGGCAAAACGTTATGCAATATATGTGATATATCGACCAGCGTGCGCAATTGCGCTTACGTAAACAGCAAGAGTAGAAAATGCCTAAAATGTCATATTAGCGCTATTGTCATATTATTCTTAACACATGCATATGTTCTTATGTTACTCTTGGAACAAGTTATATAATATATGGACGTTAGTGACGTAGCCAGGAAGAAAAAAGCAGCAAGGCGAAAAATATTTCCAATCTTCCGAAAAGGGTGACGAGGCAAGCCTCGTATGTCTCATCCTGGCTTCACTGCAACATTTCCATTACTCAGAAAATGGTGGCTATACAAATATAATGATGGAAAGTATGATGGCAATAGATGAACACGATGATAACTCTTTACGTAATTAGATTATGCACAATTGAGTCAAAAACTGATGACTTAAGATTAAAAATTGATAAGATTATACGAATAATTAACATTGCAACATTGCAGAGGAATATATATCAAAGGATGTTAAAAAATCGTCTGTTTTATCCTGGCTACACTATAGAGGACGCCATACTTATGTGAGAAAGATAAACTTACTATGGATGTGTATATAGTTCCAACGGTTGCAGTGACCAATATAGACGCCCAGACAGGAAAACCAGTAACTTGAAACAAATTTATTTATTTTATATCAAAGTTTGACAATTTGAATTATGCATATATGCGAACGCGTCAAGTTCGATATTTTAGTCAAAATGTAGCGCCATTAAGTTTATTTATTTTCAACTATAAATTATCATATCCTTTATTAGTGCGCGTATGCAAATTCCCAGGGAAGACGCCATTTGAAACGGTGATAATAGTTTAATTTATACCTGCTTCAAGAGCTGTAGATGGTGCAAACGTAGCTGTACCCATATATGTTACCTAAAGAGTCATTACAGATATATTTTCAAATGATCAGTATAATGAATAAATATTCTTTAATTTTCAAAATGTTGGAGGATAATATTCAACTATTTGGATGACTCTTTATATAAAATAAATGATAGTTGTATTAATCTATGGACTAATATTGATATATCCTTGTTTGTGTTTTTTTCAATGGGTAGGTCCGTGTTTACAAAAACACAAATATGTATTCCATTGATGATACCAAAAGCAATTTGTTGTTTCCTCATGTGATAACACTGTTATGAAAATTATGTTTAATTTAATGATAACGAGTTTACGTTTTAATTTACAATATATCAATAAGTATTTTGAATACAAACATAACATGTGAAATAACATTATGCATTAATTACAAATAGAATTCTGCTTATTATGATGAAAATAGATTGGATCCTTACCGTAGAAACGATTCCAATTGCAGAGCCAAGTTTTCGAACAGCAACGGAATCAAACCTCAAATGCAAGTACTGAAATACATAAATGAACAAAATACGAAGAGATATCGAACCCAAGACATGAAACATTGTATTGATGCTCCATTGCCACACATATTTTCCATTATGATTGGCAATCCTGTTATGCAATAAGGTACAATGTAAAGAACCAGCTTACCTCAAATGTGCTTGTAATTTTAAGTTTGTAAAACAATGGCACCCAAAGCCTTGTTGTGAGAATGGTTCCAATGAGCAGTCCGATATTACCTACATATATTTGAGCCCCACGCATGTACATTTCTGCTGGGTAGCCTAGGATCATAATTGCTGATTGGAAAGAGACCAGCAAAGACAAAGCTGTTGGGATAATTTTCAGTTGCTTATCTGCTGTAAGGTATTCCTTCGTTGTCTGCTGACGACCCCCACTTAAAGCATAATAAACTCCTATTCCAAGCGATGCGAGAATAAATATAGCAAATATGACATAATCTGCTATACCAAAAAGTGTAACTTCTTCTAGTCCCATTTTTATAGAATTACTTAAAGTTATTAGCTAAAACTCGACCAATTGCTTCTTGATTAAATTTATACTGATGAATTTATCGTTATTGAGTCCGCATTACTATTACTAGTTTTATCTTTTACAAGTTTACAATCTTAAACTGAGAGGTCATTTATGTTGTTTAAGAAAAGGACGCACTTAACGTAACGCTATCTTTGTTTACAATAAGTACTGATGTATGTTATGATATTTCGATCTCGCATTCTAATTTTAGAGAGGACACATGAGATGTTATCAATCGCAAAACATAATTTTACAATGTAGATCCATAGAATACCGATAGTGTGTTACACTAAATAACACTAGACTATCACATGTCCAGATCTCTGGAATACTTTATTCCATTTTATATACCTTCTTTACTTTAAAAAAGCTAAAAATGCATTTTCTGAACAACCAATAATTGTATTCAATATGATAACACCCAAAGGGATTATAAACTTGCATCAAAGAATAACTCTTCTGGAGACAATCTATGGCATCGGGGTCGATGATGGGACAGACAAACGAGATAAATGTGTCTTATCCCACGATTAATGTGTTATCTGTACAATAACAGCTATTGATATTTCTGATATTATTGAAATCCGTGTGATATTTTCCAGATCGTTTATCAAACTCATATGCGTGTGATATCGTTTATCTCACGCATATCCGTGTGGTATCACATTTGCATTTCGCGCCACAATATTGTTGGAAATTAGGTCAGATAATTTATTCTCTTTTGAGAAAATGGGTCCGTTAATTTATTCTCTTTAAGTTTCATTGGTGTATTTAATTACGATTGTGTATATAATTTGATAAGAAGGCTGCTAACTAACGATTAAAAATGGTATTTATGACGAACTATATCATGTTATTTACTTTTAATTGTTAAAATAAAGTGTTTCAAATATTTAATTGATATTCTAATCTCTAGTTTATATTGTGTGCCAATGTCCTGGAAATTGGATCAGAACATCACAAGGTGATTGTAATCATGGGATAAACCCAATATCACATAATTTCTGTGATATCATTTTATTGCCTCATAGATATCAAATATCAACACTCGACCATTCGCTTCGCTCACTCGTGTTGATATTTGCTATCAACTCGGCGATAAAAATGATATCACTCAAAATGATGTGATATTCTGTATATATTGAATATGATGAGTGTTGATACATATAACGATTTTTGCTTTTGTTTATCGAATAAAAAGTGGAGTATATGCCCTTAAATTTTGGTATCCCTTCTACAACTTTGTAAATAAAGACAGCAGAATAAATATCATCAATTGCAATGTGAATTGTGTTTGAAGTGAATGATATTCACCAAATATATAATATATAACTAAAACCGACTCTCGGTTACTCAAGATGCCTGATTCTTCCATTTAAACAATATATATAAGATGGTGTACTTTATAATTATTGCCATAGAGACTGTATAAGGAATTATAATTTTACTTTACAAAAACGTTTCTCTTAAAATCGAATGGAATTTGAATAATGCTTTTAGACAGTATGCGTTCAACATATTCTTCAAACATCTAGTCGCTGTTGCCACTTTAACTATGTAAGCGTTATCTCGATTTTATTTTGTAAAGTGTGGGGTACTTCAAGTATGATTGAAGTGCAAAATATAAGTGTGATAGGGTGCAACACAGAACATAGGTTGATGACTGATAAACTGAAGGAAAATACGGGTATATTGAAAGAAAGATAACAGTCCAATTTTTCAAGGTATGCATGCTGAACTAGTCCATAAAGACTCGTCATGTATGAAAACAAAAAATCATACAACACAATATCAAAATAACCTTACGTACTTTAATTACATGTAGTTATTTGATTTTAAAGCGCCTACCTAGACCCCAGCATAAGAGACATAAATAGGTTTGGAATATTTTTACAAACCCCAAATCTATAAAAATGATGTTTAACTAACACTGGATTGTTCTTAACAAACTGAAATTTTAAATTATTTTGTTTGCACATCATCGTATTTATTTTTCATTTACTATTTATTTTCATAATAGAATATCAAGTAAGAATATTCAATTGCTTAATCCAACAACAGGCTCAAGGGGCAAAACAAAATGATCGTATTTCAACAATAGATGTAGGGCCAACTTAACATGTATCAGCCGAGTCAAAACAGACTGGTCGATTTTAGGAAAAGACTATTCATCCATCAAAATACAAACCAATTAGGATGCTCGATGTTGATCATGTTCCCGCATTTTATGATCTTTTAACTTTGTTTCTTTGTGCTCTCTGCTTGCTGGTTGCATTACATTATTAAACATGATTTTAGTTTCGTTTGCCATAAGTTTATTCACACATTAAAGTGCATACTCACAATTATGTAATGGACTGTTATATAATGAGTTTAATTGATGATAAAATAGTAATTATTAATTATTAATGCAAATTGGGCATAAACAAATAAAACCCAGCGGTATGATCTAATTACATACAAGTACATAATACCGTAAAACACGTTCTAATGAAGAACAGTTAACGAATAAAGGAGGGTGGTAGTAGAGGTAGGGGTAAGCATTACTTCGACACGGCTGCACCTATAAACTACTTGCAATTCAAAGGGATATAATAGGGCCATATCAAAGATGTTCAAGACAGGCCGTTACAAAATGTAGTCCTATGTAGGGAAAGTACAAATGAATATACTTTGAACAGAGCGTGAAACTGAATCACGATATTGCGATCCCAAAATAATCAAGTCAAGATCATTTTTGTAGCTTTAGTTTCACACTGTTGATAATTTTAGCGTTCATAAAAATCTAGTATGTTATTTTTATTTTCATCAGCATTTCGATTCTTCGATAGTAGGTTGTATATGTTGGAACTTCGTGTCTCGGAAAACATCTCTCTCTACTCCCATGCTTGCATTGTCCTTAAATAAGAGAGTACAGAATTTTAAAAGCCTGTCTAACTTATTTTGCTAAGTAATGAATTTATTGTAAAACTATGCATAAATACTGCTAAAATCTTGGAAATAATAAACATGTTTACGTTAAAGCGACACCTACTTGTCTTTGGTTGTTGTCGCGTCGACACCGACAACGTGTATTTTTGACACTGGAGGGACAACAACAGCAAAGTGCATCACAGAGTTGGAAAGTGTACAATTTATCTATGGGCCTCTTCTTTTCACCACCTTGAAAGTGCCAAGTATATCACTGAATAGTATAGTTTCCATATCGTTTTCGTGAGATCTCAAGAGATTTGCAAATTAGACCTCTTGTGACTTACATTTCATTCTTTTAAATGGCATATGGTATTTGAATTCGATGGAAAGTTTTCTATAAGAATAATTTTGATTTACAAGTATTCATTTTTGTTATCATTTTTTGAAAAATCTTGGGCCAAGTCTCCATTTATGCAATTCTATAAATCCTCTAAAAACCTTGGTCTATTCGTTTAACAACCCACATTTTGATAAATAATCACAATATGTTGATTAACAGGGTCATCATATAGTACTATACCATTCAATTTCTAGACGGATTCAATCAACACTCTTTGATATAAAATCATGAAATTAGGTCATCATTCCAAGACACAGGTCGTTGGCAGTCTGGCCAAATAAAACGTTGATTCTAATATGATACGTAACGTTACAATAGCTAGAACAATTGATAAACTGGTCTGTATTAGAGTATGTATGACCGCTTCAATTCATATGCAGATAGTTGTGTTTCTTTTCTGTGTATCATATAAGAATCGTAACAAAGACATCGATTTTATGATTTATGTCAAAGTATATATGACATCGAGTTTTATTCTGGCCATTGCCAAAGACCTCAATCGCTACGCGATTTTGGTCTTTTAACAATGAACAGAATAAAATTTTGGAAATATAATTACGCCATGAATCATAAAATCTCAGTCTTTATTACTTAAATAAAAGATGGCAGCACTAGTTTTCATTCGTTCATTCAGCTATCTAGAAATGTAGAGAATCTTATTCCGCAGATACATTCTCATTTAAAATGACATGTTTCGCGAGGCCAGATAATAAATCCTAACTAGCCCATTCCTGTATCAATCCTGGTACTGTTTTCAAGAATACATCACTTAATGTACATATTTGTGACTAAGATTTACCTGTTGCCCAACTGACTAGAAGACCCACAACTGTGGCAATTAGAATCCCAAGAGGAGTATAGAGAAAGTAAGAAATACTGTACAAATGCTGGATCCCACTTCTATAAAACATTAACACACATCATAATAAAAGATTGAAATATGTCACCAAGAATTTTTACTCGAATGATTTCCTATTTTCATATTCTTTAAAAACAGAAATTAGACAATTAGGGAAGGCCATTCGAAATTGAGGAGATATTACTTTCATACAGTGTTGAATTGAATACTTTAGTCATAACTTACAATTTCTGATCTTTAAGTTCAAAAATACTCGAATGATTCAACATAGATGTAGAATCTATTGTATCATCATACCAAGAAGTGACATTTTTATAAACGGAACTGTTGTAGACGCTGCTTCCATTTGAAATATCACATCGATCTGTAGGGCCAGGAGGTAAATACTGATTATGGCCTTTAATAGTCTGGGCTCCAATAGCAACCCACAACATGATCGGGAAAGATACCATTGGCCCCGCTAGCGCACCCTGGAATAGATTAAATTGTGCGATTACGAATATGGATGAGTTTTAGTTATTTTAATCTGTGGATCGCCACGAGCTCCAAAATGCTAAAGCTGGCATTTAAGTTAAGTAACTATTAAATTAAAAATTAATAGTTACTTATTGGTGTGACTAACGTACACAGCAATAGAATTATACAGAAATTAGAATAAAACTACATGTAGCGTTTCAAATACAACCAATCATTTGGAGTGCGTTATTAATGATTACATTATGTGTCTTAGAAGACAACGATTAAGACTTATATATAGCCAACCTTCCAGTTTGAAGACACTGTGAATGCTGCCAGTATGAATATGGCGCAAGAACTCCCACTTATCGCACCGCCTAAAGTTGAGGAAGCCTGTGCGTTAAACAAAAAAGAAGTTTGGCAAAATTAATTGATGTAGATCACATTGCAAAATATAGGGCCACTTTCCTTTGGTCAATTTAATAGAGCATTGAATTGCTTATATGCAGCAGCAAATATGGACTGTGGTATTTCTTAAGATAATCAAGTATTAACGTAAATTACTATTGGAAATACTACTGCTAGTAATTATTCTAGGACGGATCAATTTAAAATGACCACCATAACATATACCCAGAATGCCCCTTTGTTTGGAGATTTCTATACAAAGAATTATCACTGAAAATTTGAAATCGATCCTCCAAACAGTCCACCTAGAAACGCATAGATGACTTTTCTTACACGATTTTAGGACGGAAAACCCAAAATGGCGACCTTAATATTTTACCAAGAATGTCCAAAAACTATCCAATTCTAGATTTAGGTACAAAAAATCATCCCTGAAAATTAAAATCTATCCGTCAGACAGGTCACCTGGACAAGCATAGAAAAGGCTTTACCGACAAGATTTTACGATAGAAATTACAAAATGGCCGACAATAAAGCGGTTATAAGATTTTATTTTACAATGTACGAGTACATACGCAAAGTAAAACTAGAGATTTTACGCGCGTAATTTGCATCTTAACAAGCGTAATTTACGTCTAGACACGCTTGCGTTTATTGGTTAGTTTCGTCATAGTCGCTTATTCCAGCTTATTAAGACATGTTACACTTACCTGGATAATTGGTCCCTTTATAAAAATAGCTAAGCAAGCAATACCCGTTGAGCAAACTCCATAGATTAGAACTAAAACAGAATTTGATGCAGGTGAGTAAAACAAAGTGCATTTTCAAGGCAATTATATTATACCAATAGGTATCTTCATTTATTTTTTTGCAAAATTCACAAAACGAAAATGACAATTACACAAACATGTGTTTTAGACGTGATTATGTCAGTTTAAGAACCTCATTTTACCTAGTAGCTTTGTGCACAGTGCCTTCTTGGACTCCTCTAGATGTCTTAACCTGTGTTTGAGGAAATCTTCCCAGGTGATCGCCGAAAGAGCATTTAAACCTGACGATATGGAGCTGCAATAGAGGACTTTCTTAGATGACCCTTTTCAAATCAAAGTGTTCAACAAAAGATATCATACACAATTCACACGCCCGGTAATCGTAAAATGAAGGGACGGGGGGATGGGGAGCCGATTTCTGCTAGAAAATTCGATAAATTCAAAATTTATTTTTTACGAGAAAATCGTTAAATTATAGATAGGTGCACGGCCTGGTAAAGGTGGGAAGGTTTTCTATGATTTTTTCCAAACTATGCAGGTGTGAGATATATTGATAAAGGCGCATCATCACCATTATTGCTCAACGAGTTGTCATTTCAACAACCCGCCATTTTTCTTACTCAAGAGTGTTTCCCTTTGTGTATTCAAAGTGTGCAATCTGAGTGTCCCTGGTTCTTATTGGTTGAAATTGGTATCAACTATAGACGTTGGTCGCATTTACCTCAGGAGTCTGATTGCAGTTTACACGGATCCGTTTCGATTCAGCAATGAATCGCTCCGGGGTTAATGTAGCAGCGTTTGGGTTAAACACCGTGTTTTTGCTGCACAAAGTATGTTGACCAAGTGTTTTGTTCAGAGTGTTTCATTATGACCACCCCTTCCACAGCCGTTCCGAGCAATAAACCCCTATAATCTATGTATCGAATTAAAGCCCATCCAAAACTTGAAAAAGTCCTTTGAAAACTCGAATTTGACAGTGGATTATTTAGAAGTCTGCTTCTTTCCCATCCAATCAGATTATCAGCAAAAAAGCGTGCAAATGGGGGTCATACGGACTTTTGAAAGTAAGTTCATTAATAATGTTCATAACAATGATTCATGCCAAAATCTAGAATCGAATGGGCTTTAATTTGATATATAGATTATTGGGGTATATTATCTGGAATGGGTTGTGGATGGGATCATTTTGACATACCCTGTATAATTATGATTTTCAGATAATTAAGTGAAATTAGTTTGGTAATATCAAACTCTAGATAAAAAAACACAGCAAAGTACCTGAGTGCTCCACTGAAGAGAGTGGCAAGAAATAGTCCTGGGAATCCTGGGAGGCTCCTGAATGTATCCATCACAAAATATGGTAATATCTAGAAATATAATATATAAGGGTTATGTACTGGGAGGTTTTGGATATGGGGTTTATCCAGAGGGAGCTATAACGCTATCACGACGGATGAATCCAATATCCAAACCGACCGTACATAACTGCTTTATCCTATACCAAGTAGAGTTTTCAGGGGCATATGGCCATTTTAATAGTACAAGGTGTAAAAATAAACAAATCATTCATATGCAAAGCCATTTTATTGCATTTCCACTACTTACCGGAAGCGGGAAGATATGCACCGATGCGGGAAGATATGTACCGAAGCGGGAGATATGGCGGGAGATAAGGAGGTTCTGAATATGGAAACCTCAAAATCAGGATACGGGATATATCTTACCAACTTATCTCCCTAAAACTCTACTTGGCATAGGATAAATATATATATATACAAGGGCCGGTCAAAAATTCCTGATAAAAATGCTCTTTAAAGTTTATCACTCGTTTCCCACAATATGGTTGCTATGGTAACATCAATAACGCTATAGCGGGACGGGGTCAAAACCACATTAAAAGCTTGTTTAATGAAAAGAACGGTTGTTTTAAAGTAAAACTTCAATATCCATTGCGAAGTCAGTTCGTGCATTCCTACAGCCAAAAACGAATACTGAATAAAACATCGAAATTTCATGATTTGGAAAATATTTTCGGGTGTTCAATTCAAAAGTCGCGTGGCGCATTTGATTAGAGCGCTGGGTTGTGCATGCGCTTTTAATTTTATACCCCGAAGAATGGGTTCGAAACCAGACAGAATCTATTTTTTCATTTTCAACCGTCCACAATCCATTTTCTTGATCTGTTTTTATATGACACCCTCATGTTGATCTATCAAGACATTTATGGGCAACATGGGTCATTATAAACAATGGAATAATAATTATATATCCCGAATGATTCATACTATTTATAATTATTTTTTCTCAAGATTCAGCCGGTGAATTTTCATGAATGAATAAACACAATGAGCACACGCGTCTCGAAATTGCAACCTCGTGGTAACGGCGCCCAATCGCCTAGCTCGAATGTACCGGCGCTCCAAGCCCTCTCAGCCAACTCGACAACCTCAAAATGGTTGTTTTGTCAGTTGATCTAACGAGAGGCAGGTGATGTTAACACACCAGAGGAAGCACAACTGACATTTCTATCCCTTTGGCACTCGTGCTTAATAGATATTCCATGAATATTTTTCTAAATAATTTTGGTTTCTCTTCGAATGATGACAATGTTTTAAAGAGAATCTGAATTTTCTCATTGAAACCAATGTTTTAGATTAATTTTTTTCCAGAAATAACAGGACGGTCAATCTTTCTCATTTTTACATATTTTGTTATTCATTAGTGTATCTTTCACCTGTATTTATAAGAAAATCAGAATTGTGAAATAAGTGTGAAATGATTGTAAAACCTGTATGATACAGGAAAATGAACGCATCGTGTAACGTTTGTCACATTGGTTACAAATCTGGCATGGTCTACTATATTATCAGCAACAAGTTAGATATGGAGGTTTTTGGAATTAGTTTTTCAATATAAGTGGTTTCAATATATGTGAATTGTGTGAAGATTTCAAGTGATCCCCTTTACTCAAGAATCTTTTTATCAAACCTTCTGTATCGGCCTTATATATCAGCAAAATTATTGCAAATCGTAAGTTGATGTTATATATTGTCGTCCATGGCATGACTCCAGAATATGAAGAATCCGTAGCATAACATAACGCAGCAATATTTGAATCAATATTGAATGTCCAAATGTCTTGATTCTTTTAAAAATACCATTTGCTGACTTTATATTATAATTTGAATGTCATAGAGGTATTGGGACGTATATTCAGGAGTTCTGTATACTAGTCTATAGTATAAAGTTTCATGAATTCGACCAGCTCTTGGTGGTTATTTTATAATCAATTGAGCAGTTAACTACGGGTAAAATAGCTGAAACCTAAAACTTACATTCAATATTTATTTGATGTACACGTAGCATCATATTCCAAATTGTAAAAAGGTGAATTAGTTTTTACTAATTTTTTGACCCCTTCTAGTGTCACGCATAATTCAGCCCTAAAGTTCAACTATAAGTTTGACGTAACGAGAGACATATTTCTACCCAACAAAAAACGAAGTTTTTTCGGCAAAGGTATTCTTAAATAATCGAGACATATATAGACCTCCTAAAATATTTGTTCAAATGTTGCTGCGCTATATTGTGCTGGGGATTCTTCATATTCCGGAGTCATTCGATGGACTATATTATGATAAAATGAATGTTCAATGACCTGTTTAAAGGAGCATGAAGGTTATCGCACACAGCTTCAGACGATTTTAACTTGAATTATGAATATCCGATAACCTACCTAAACCTTTGACCAAAATATAATATACTCACCTTAAAAATGTAAGCACTTTCACGAGGATGTAGTTGGTCCTAAAATCTACATAATACATTAACTTCGTAAACTATACGACTCAATGACGTTTAGCATTGTATATTGATTGGTTGGATTGATTTACCTGATTTGCTGTTCTAATATAGCCCTGTTCAAGTGGATCACAACCGATGTGTGTATAGTACGCAAAGACAACGAGGCCAGTGAAACAAACCAATGTTACCAATGTAAACTGCATTGGAATGGCCAGCAGGACAGCCCTATAAAATAAAACCATATATAAGTGACAAGTTTCTATGAAAAATGCTGAATAAATGAAACCGAAAGATCATACAATATTAGTTATTGTGCTTGCTTTACTAGCCTGATGCCATATACCTTGACATCCGCATAGTTTCACCTTTTGAGCAATGCCAGTGGTTCAATAAACATAAATGCATTTTACTCACATATTTGCCTTCTTTAGTGTGGGAAGTGAGCAAAACCTCTGAACACTGGCTTGACTGGTTCCATAAACTTTCCACCAGAGGATTGTATTTGCAAGTGTCACAGTCCAGAATGTATTGATTTTTCTTGGATCCAAATCGAAACTATAAAATAATCATCCCCTATTTCAATATAACTAATATTAGGCGATCAGCCTGGGGGGTTGGTCGGTACCGAATCAGGGGAATAATGGCCATGGTGATTTTTGGGAAGGTGTACACCCCAAGAGTAAGAAAATTTGTGATAGCATTTCAGAAGTGGCAGCTAAATGGGTGTTATCACCCATTTTCAAAATGGCCGCCGGTGCGCTTGCTACCAAATGAAAGAAGTTATATCTAAGCATACTGAGAGGCAAAATCAGTAATTTTAGGGTCTAATTCTGGGTTTTAGGGGTCACTGATTCGATTTATGCCTAAATCCAAGTCATCAAAACATAAATTCATATGAAAATCCAAGATGGCCACCAATTTTGGTGCAAAAACAAATATGTAACTAATGATACAAGCTAAAGCGTTTCAAAATGATTTTGAAGAGTTTTAGAAGAGGTTTTCAAGTCTAACAATTTTATTCGTGTCTAAATCTATGTCATCAAAGGATTACCTTTTAGGTAAATCCAAGATGGCCACCAAAATAGGTGCAAAAAGGAATATGTAACTACATAAACAGATAAAAGCAATTTTATAGATCATGAAAGGGTTAAGAGGTTAATGATTTCACTTATGCTTCATTTTAGTCTAAGTAATCAAAGAATTACTTTTCATAGAAAACCAAAATGGCCGCCAATATGGGTGTCGAAACGAACATGTAACTTTTAATGTAAGCTCAAAGAATAGCTAAAATGTAGTTTTGTAGATCATGAAAGAGTTTGGGGATCAATGATTTTATTGTCTTAGTTTTCAAAGAATCACTTGATGTGGAAATCCAAGATGGCTGCCAAAATGAATAAGTTATCATTAATATAAGCTCAATGAACAATTACAAAGTGATTTTGGAGACCATGTCTAGGTTTCAATGGTCGAGAATTTTAAATCAATAGCTAGGTTTCAATGGTTGAGAGCTTTAAGTCATCAAATAATTCTTTTATTTGGATTTTCAGGATGGCAACCAAAATGGCTGCCAAAACAAATAATTAATTTTGGAATATATTCATTTTGATATCAAAGATGGCCCTGATGTGATGTACCATCTCAATTGTACTCTCTTCATCAAAACAATGAACTGGTTTATGAAAGCAGAAGAGTCCTAGTATGGAGGTCTCAAAGGGAATGATGATACAAGACATCCTTCTTGCCGAGCCTTTATGGACATCATTAATGTTATGACCTAGTCATTCCCTGGTGCATAACGGATTTTAAGCTGCTTGGAGAAGATGAGATGTATGTAGTGCAATCCCAGGAATATTTTCAACTGAGTGGTATACAGAGGAATACCCTTTGCATTCATTCGATTTAGCCTCTGAAAAGAGAGCTTCATCTCTAGTTTAACTAGACTCTGCGAGCAGGGTAACAAATGAAGCTAATGTGCAATTTTTCATACTATCCATGATGAGAGAATTGAATATTTTGATGGGTCCCAACAACAGCATCTGTGAGAACTAGAAAAGTGGATGAAAGCTATTGACCTTAGCAATGTAGGGAGTTGGTACATAGAGATTATCCTATATGAGGTTCGGGATATTGGAATTATCCCGAGGCCAATATAATATATCTGCCCGAGGGACGTATGTCTGTAAAGAAAGGACAAACTCAATCCAAGTCTACAATTATACAGAAGATAATATCTCGGATGGACTGAAGATCACCGAGTATGAAGACCTCATTGACAAAGTAAGGTGTAAAGGGTGGAAGGTGAGACACTTTCCAGTGCATGTAGGCTTTAGAAGCTTCCAATGTTCTTCTCGGGACATCATGTTGAGAGAACTAGGTATGCAGCCTGTGAACTTCAAGATGGCAATAAAGGAAATAGGTTAGATGGTTGAGTCATGCTCCATGTGAATCTGATAATTTATTTTGGCAGCCAGTTTGGTGACAATTTTGGATTTTAATATGAGGAAAGGTTAAGATAACTTAGGTAAAGGCTAGTAAATTGAAACCATTTTCTCCTGAAACCCAGTCTCCGATATCTATAATATTCTAATTTTTCTATGTGCATATAAATTCATTTTTGCAGCCATTTTAGATTTCTATATAAAGGTATTCTTTAATCACTTCAATTTACACATGAATGGAATCCTTAACGTCTAAAACCTTATCATGATCTGCAAAAGCAACCGTTTTTAAGTTTACATAAGTAGTTACGTATTCATTTTGACATCCATTTTGGTGGCCATTTTGGATTTCTATGTAAAGTAGTTCTTTGATTACTTAGATTTAGACAAAAATAAAATCCCTAGCCTCTAAAACCTTTTCATGGTCTCCAAAGTCACTTTTTAACCGTTCTTTGAGCTTTTTGAGCTTATATCAATAGTGACATATTTGTTTTGACATCCATTTTGGCGGCCATCTTGGATTTCAAATTCTTTGGTGACTTAGATTTTGACTTAAATGAAATCTTTGACCCCTAAAACCCCGAAATAGACCTCAAAATCACTGCTTTTGTCTCTCAGTATCCTTAGATATAACTTCTTTTATTTGGTAGCAAGCGCACCGGCGGCCATTTTGAAAAATGGGTGATAACACCCATTTAGCTGCCACTTCTGCAATGCTATCACATAATTTCTTACTCTAGAGGTATTTACCTTGCCAAAAATCACAATTAGGCTTATTCCCCTAACTTGGTACCGATAACCTAAATTTTGGGGTGAAGTGATGGCCTATATGTCCGTCTACTCACAATTAAACATGTTATTCATTAAAAGTGTCTTTATTATATTGAAAAAATGAGGAGTTAACTTACTCGAATAAATTGAGTCGATTGTGTTCTTGGCAAATCTCAAATACTTTAGAAACACTCCCAATTCTGATAATGCCCTGTTTGTGAAAATAAAACAATTTACATATACCATTATTACAATTTAGATTTTTACATACAACTACAGGTTGATGTCGGGTGATCATATTTCCCTCTATTTCAGCTCTATTTCGTTTTCCCGTTTGCTTACTAGAATAGGTTGTATAAAGATTATTGTCTGCTTTCAGATAAAGAAATGGATTGCGTATTCATATTACCATGACAACAATTGTCAGAATACCACCTAACATGATGACCGATTGGAAAACATCCGTCCATATGACTGCCTTCATTCCTCCCTACAAACACATACGTTTACATATTGGTATGACTTGGTAGCTGGTATTTAGGTCAGAAATACAGGGTTGATAAACCTTAAAGTTGTGAAAACATTTGGCGAATGCATTATTACTTGCAATCATAGGAATATTTACCGTATTAAAGGCCCCATATAAAGTTTAAACCACTTTGGCTTACATTGTAGTCTTACCCAATGTTATCAAAGTGTGATATGTGAAACTTTTTTTTTTAATTTCAAAAAGTGGTTTTTGATAGACTTTTTGTTCCAAAATTTGTGAATTTATTTAAAACCAACTTTTAGAGGTCACTCATATCTTCTAATTAGCCACAATTCATACCAATGTATAGCATTCATCCTCCCATGTTTTTGCCGAAAAAATTAAGAAAATTGGTTTATAAATAAGCGAGAAATGAACTTATCAGTGCATGAAAATGGTTCTGAGAAAAATGCATTTCAAAATTTTAGTTCTCATAGAAACCAATGGTACAATGATATCTAAAACATAACTTATTCTTCCTTTTAATCTGGTTAGACAATCAACATTGGGTTTTTATGAAAGTCTAACATATTTAGAAAAGATTGACATCGAATTTTTTTTTTTAATTTTTTCAAAAAGTTGTTGGTACCTTAGTGACATCACTAATGTTTCAAAATATTTTTGATATGCTAAAACATTGAAGTGGCCCATTAAATATGGCATTTTATTATTGAAATAGTGTGTCCTTTGTTCAATCTTTGCACTTTTTCAATGTCGATCGACTTTTTTTCTACAATTCAGATTTTCTTAAGAAAAAATTAGGTGAAAGATATGCGAATGAGAATACATTGCAATCAATGGGAAAACACATTTCAATTAGTTAAAAATATTCAGATTCTCTTAAAGTCCCCGATAAATCGGGCTACGTATACCGCCGTGTTTACATTAGGGGATTAGAAGAGTTTATTTTTTATTTAGGTATGCAAGCTACGTATATCAATATTAGGCCTTCATTCATGTACTCGTGTGCATGTAATCAGCATGCCCTTCAATATTATGTAAACCAGGCTATTCAAGTACTGTATAATGTACACTATTTATGTGTGTACTACATACAATACAATTCCCTGAGCCATTTGATTGATGCAAACACTAAACAGCTTCATAAATAACATCTACAAAGTATATCTAATAGTAATTTTCAATTTCAATTGTGAAACTTCCCTGGTTACGATTATATGGGAAATCATCACGAGACGAAGATCGTTCGCCTTCCTGGCTTACCTCTGAATCGTGTACCTGGTAATCTCTTTATATAGTTTAGCGAGAGCGGTGCGCCTTCGCAGTTTTAAACTTTGGCACACACTTTAACTGTAATCATTCTATGGGACAACAAATGTGTTTATAAAAACATTTAGAAATTCACCGTCCCTATCTTGAGAAAAATGATTAACTTAATTGAAATAAATAGTTATGCCATTCCATCGTATAAAATGACCAAAATTGCCAAACAAAGGTCAAAACGTAATAAATATAATTATGTGTCATAAGAAAGGTATCAAGAAAATAGAGTGTGGTTTCAAAAGAATGACATTGGAAATAAATAAATTGAAAACAAAATTATCGAAGCAAGCCGGGATTCGAACCCGCTACCCCACTCTGAGTGAAAACTTCTGAATCTGGATATAATACTGTTCCATTGAGTTTTCATTCTGAAGGTTGACTTCTGTCTTAGATTCTCGTCCATAGAGAGCTTTTGCGAGAGAGGGATTTATGAAGTGCGAACTGACAGTGCAATAGACAGTGAACTTCTACCTAAAGCACAGACGTTTAAATGCAAAGTACTGACTACTGATGAACATGTGTATCATGTACGAAAACAGTAAAGAAGGGAAGGGCTAAAAAATAATAATTGAAGGAAGGAAATTCTTATAAAAGTCATAACATCAGAGCTGTCGCGTCATCTTATTATCAACACAGCATGTTGTTGTGCAACTCCTGGACCAAGTAATATTGACGCCATAATATATATTTACGTGACAAAGATAAACTTACTATGGATGTGTATATAGTTCCAACGCTCGCAGTGACCAATATAGACGCCCAGACAGGGAAACCAGTAACTTGAAACACATATATGTAATATAAATCATAACTTTTCAATTTAAATTTACATTAGTCTAAGTGTATGGTTAGTAGTTCCAGGCCCGTAGCCAGGGGGGGTTCGCATGGTTCGGGCGAACCCCCCCTGGCCAAAAATTCTTTCAAAATCATGCAGTTTTTCACCATTTTGAGCACTTTTTAAGTGATTTTGGCCCTTTTTGGACCCAAATTGTCAAAAGTGAACCCCCCTGGAATTTTCCAAAAAGTGAACCCCCCCTTGGCAAATCCTGGCTACGGGCCTGAGTTCATATTTACTTTCAACTTCAAATTATAATTATATCATTCAATAGCTCGCGTATGCAAATTCTTGGATGTGACATCATTGAAAATTATAATTATACCTGCTTCAAGAGCTGTAGATGGTGCAAACGTAGCTGTTCCCATATATGTTACCTATATAGTCATGTCAGAGATAAATAAATTAAATAAACATTATATATAGAGGATATCCTATGATTTATGTGTGATATGATTTTTATCCACAAATGGATATTATGATATCTGCACGAGGGAGCGTAACACGAGTAAATCATAGGATGTTCTTTTTATTCCATAGTTAATGTCATCATCAAAATCGTCGGAAATTAAGTGATTTAATTCAAATTTCCAAACGATCCGGCGATGTTGACACTAAGCCTCGTTTTGAGTCTGAAGTAGCAAAAATCCATAATTCACAGCATACGGCGCCGTATGTCAAGGCTTAAACACCGTATGCTATAGTTAAGTGAAAATTTGTCAAAAATATCATATTTTACCACTGATTACAAAAATATCGCTTTTATTTTGACATGTTATCCAATGAATATCATGCTAACTATGGAATAAAAACAGGTATTGGATGATTCGTGAAATGAAATGAGTGTCAGCTGTACCAATCTATGGACAATTCTATATATGTCTGTGTTTGTAATAATTCACTATTTTCAATGATAAGACCCGATTACTGTTCATTGATTGCATTTTGGTCTCCAGGGCGTCCACACAATAGTACACCCAACTTAGGATAGTAGAATAGAAAGGATACTGATCAATTTAAAAAAATTCAAATGTAACAGTAAAAAGCCTAGTTTGTCCTCCATCAACTGGTACCTAGATCATTATGTAACTTCATGGATGACTGAGCAATCATGACTTCTATGAAAAGTAGTATACATGAAATCAGCACAGTGCCAAGTTAGCATTTAAGTGCGATTGACACAGTGGATGATTTTTTTGTGTTCAAAACATTATGCATGTTCAAATTCAAACTTGTTCTATGTTCCTCACACTTTGTATAATAATTTTCTATAACGTTTTTTGTTTCTACCTCCCTCTCGAAAAAGTGGATCCCAAGAGCTTATTGGACAGTAATGAAACTTCTACATGGTGATATGCAGCTCTGAAGTCAATTATAGCCCCATGTAAAGTCGGTACACGCTTGCTAAAATCCTCATTTTCTCGGAGGTACTCAAGTTGATTGAGCCTCAACAAGTACATTGATGTGGGACAGTATTGCTAGAATCCATTTTCCTTAGTAAGAATAGTGGTTCTTAAAAAGTACATTTGGACTTGCTTTTTAGTACTTTTTTGGCTCTACTGCTCAGGTGTCAGTTGAACCATGTTTGCAGACCTATTTTTGAGTCAGTTAACCTTATTTTCCAAACCTTTTCACAGATAACAGAGTCACTCAGGCCCCAGTCCAGTCCATTATTAAAGGCCTGTCCTCTAAAATAAAGTAACAGAAAAATAAAACTAAGCGAATAACATATCAATTGCCACCAAGGAAAATAACTTGCCACAGCACTAATTTTACTACCTCTCATAAGTGTCATGATTGTTCAGTCATACATGACAGTTACATAATGATCTAGGTACCATTTGATGGAGGACGAATTATAATTTTTTGCTGTTACCTTTATATTTCAAAATATTTCCCAGGATTCTAGTAATAGTACAATAACGTCATTTCAAAGGGCAATATAGTGAAATATTGGACCGAGGGCCGAAGGCCCAAGGTCCAATATTTCACTATATTGCTCGCAGATATGACTTTATTAGTATTATTACCACCGCTAACGACCAGGACTGAAACAGCAAGAAAATCTTACGCATTGAACGATATCTAATATCCCGGGGAAAATTGCCGGTCCAGAATATATTCTAGACCGGTCCATATGGACCACCACTATGACGTCACACATTTCTCAGGTCGATATAGTAAAATAAACGCCTTCTAAACTAGCACTAAAACCCCTAGAACTGGCCCGGCAAGGTGGTAATAATTTAGTTTTAAAGTTCGGTGTACTTTTTGTGGACGCCCTGTATTGTTCTGCAAATATAACGGTTATGTTTTCGGAGGTTTTGGATACGCCCGGGGTTTATCCAGACAACCCGAGGGACCATAAGGACTGAAGGTAGATGTGCATATCTCACGAGGAATAAACCCCATATCCAAACGGACCGTAAATAACTGCTTTATCCTATACCGAGTGGAGTTTTCTATTTTCTTAATTATCTTTTTATTTTTTTAAATACTAAATTAATGTATTTTTTCAAATTATTTTTCAAATTATTTTTTCAATTTTTTTTCAGTTGTTTTTTCAATTTGTGGATATATTATAGAAATACTATTAGAAATAACTGTTTATTTTGATATAAAATAACATAGGACCATACCGTTGAAACGATTCCAAACACAGAGCCAAGTTTTCGAACAGCAACAGAGTCAAACCGCATATGCAAGTACTGAAATATTAAGAGCAAAATACGAGGTAATGTCTAGAGACACAATACATAAAATTGTTGGCTCATCGACCTATACATTTTCCAGGATTGAAAAATGTTATGGTCCTGGATTGTGATAATGGGGGGGGGCATTGTTTTTTCACGATGGATTATGGTTTAGGATTGCTGTTTTCCTTATGACTGGTGTACACTTAGAAGTTATATTTTGTGTGCTAGGAAACACTTTTCGTCCTTTCCCTTTGGCATATTTTAAATAATAATTATAAGTTCAAATGAACAATAAGGAACCATCTTACCTCAAATGTGCTTGTGATTTGAAGTTTGTAAAACAATGGCACCCAGAGCCTTGTTGTGAGAATGGTTCCAATGAGCAGTCCGATATTACCTACATATATCTGGGCTCCACGCATATACATTTCTGCTGGGTAGCCTAGGATCATAATAGCTGACTGGAAGGAGACCAGCAAAGACAAAGCTGTAGGGATAATTTTCAGTTGCTTATCTGCTGTAAGGTATTCCTTCGTTGTCTGCTGACGACCCCCACTTAAAGCATAATAAACTCCTATTCCAAGCGATGCAATAATAAATATAGCAAATATGACATAATCTGCAATACCAAAGCGTGTAATTCCTTCCAGCCCCATTTTCTAGAATTAAAAGTTGTTATGAGCTAAAACTCTACCAACTAACTGCTTCCTGATTACGTTTACACAATGGAATTATCTTTATTGAGACGACAGGCAATAAATATGGTATATTATCATTGTGACCGATTTATCTTCGACTTTACAAGTTTACTTCTCCAACTGAAAGGTCATTTACGTTGTGTAAGAAAAGGACGCACTTAACATTCCGTTATCTTTGTTTACAATATGTGATGTTATAAAAGTTTGATATTTCGAATTTGAATTATTTTAATTTAGAGTGGAGGGGATGTTATCAATAACAAAACATGATCCATAAAAATATCTAAGAACAAATGCGAAAGGGAAAGGACCAAACTCTAAGTGGAAAACTGCAATAAAGAAAATAGAACATAATAATTACACAATACATTTGTATATCCTTAAATATGGGTCTAGCCTGAACAGAGATGATGTCTAACAGCCACCCTCTCTAATCGAGAACCAATTTCACAATCCAGGAACAGAACACAAATGGATATTGCATTCATTCAATGATAAGTCATCACAAACACAATACGGGAAAATTGATAGCCAATACTCATAACATCAAAAATAGTTGTAGATACTATACTCATAAAAGATAAAGCATTCAGTCTCAAATGATGTGGGATAGATAAAATCCAGTCTCATATAGGTAGTTCAAAAAAAGCATCCAAGAAAATTCGACCGTCATTAAATGATTCAAAATTTAGTAAAAGTGATAGCATATTTCAAATCTACATGTAAAGAATGAGTCAGGATATATGCCCTTTTGGTCCCTCACTAAAGAGTTAGCAAAATATGCTTTTTATTACTGTAAAGTTCTAGTTATATGCACATTTCCCTTAGTTTTGATGCATAATGAACCTCCTGCCGAGAGTTAAAATAAGTATCCTAACAAAATACAAATAGTCTTTACCATAGAAAAACACCAATGGCAACATGTATGACATACAAAGTAGAAATAACTTAAAGATACATGAAGAATTGAAAAGAAAATAATTTTTTGAGATATCTTTTAGGTTTTTAAATTTTTTCAAACTTTTGAATTTCCCGCCAGTTTGATTTGAATGGGGAAAACCAAGATGGTGGCTGCCCTTTGATGAAGGAAATATCAGAAGAAAAGTCGCTTCACTTTTAATTTTCACATTGAGCACAGCTTTGTGGTTTCATTGATTCTGATTGTTCAACATCAGGGTCATATATAGAGATTATAAAATTGAAACCATAAAGCTGTGCTCAGCATGAATTTTGTAGAAATATTAACAACTCCACCAACATAATTGAAGTGTCAATATTGGTTGCTCGGTAACAGTAATCCCTTGGTTACCCAGATAAACACCAATTCACTAATCAAGAAATACCATTCAATGTCTATACAAAGAGAATGAGCAATGTTTTGAAAGATATGTTTCAAACTTTTTGGATAAATTATTCATTTAGTATTTGCTCTTGAATTTTTTCAAATGTCTTTGATGCCAATATTCCTCATAAACTGTGTTACAAATTGATATTCTGTGACTCTCAGAAGAAGGATTGGATATCGAGGTTTAATAATATGTGTGATTGAGTTTGTTTTTCAGACATCACAATTCTGAATATTTTCTAATAGTCGATATCCGGACCCATTCCCTGACTCATCCTTTACATCTATAAATGTGGGTTTAAAAAGTGTTCATCGACTTGAAAATTTGATTTGTTTTGAAAAGGTGACTTCTAGGGCAGTATAATGAGAACCATGTATAATACACGTGCATGTAAAGGTACATGTAGATTCTCCGTAGACTAGCCGGTTGTTAAAAACTAATTGGAATGTTGTAGTGTTCTGAAGCCAGTAAGCAGTCCTCGGATTTTAGCTTTCGTTTCACCAAAATGTTTATTATCTGTTTATATAGATGGTCGTCTTAATATCTTCTATCATGGTCAGTTCTATAATATATCCTAGATGATACAGGAACTGAACTATTTTTGTGCATTTGAATAGGATTATACCACAGCTAGCGCTCTAGATGGCATCCCATAATGTTGGTTCTGCTTCCCGCGTTAAAGGTAATAAGGGGATGTTCGACCTTTTCATGCTATGCAGAGAAGCAGGTAGGTAAAAACACAGTTATGTAACCTGAGTAGTGTCGTCTGTCATCTTTAATTATGTCTACTGAGCTAACGGTTTGATCAGTATATATTAATTGCACAATACAATATAATCAATCAAGGCACGGTCGAACAAACCTGGAACTGAGAACGAAACAAGACGAATAAAACAAATAATTGAGTGTTATGGATAAAATATGACATTTCGACTTGTTTACACAATAAATAGTTGAATATACTGGTTGTCTTAAAACGTTACCAAATGCTAATCCCGTCACTTTTAGAACTATAAACAGCAAGCTCCATACGCGTGCATACCTTCATGGGCACTCATAGACGGGACCTATCATAGAGCAAGCTAGCACAACCGAATCTAGTTCTCGACATCATTGGGCAAGTATTGATTCCTTCAACGATTGACCTGTAATTCCGAAAATAACGAAGGGTTGGACTACAATGGTGTTAATCAAGACAACACAACGTGTTTAAAATATATACATACATACAGATGTATCTAAAAGAAAACGTGTTTTAATTTTGTAAGTACTATAGCTAGTACACTAACATATACCTGAACGTATACTGAACTGTATATTCGTGAATACGCGGCGATGTGAGAATGGATGTGATCCATTCTCTGGCTCCGTCATGGAGTTATGTGATGTGAACTGCTGCTGTATCTTCAGCGCCATTGTTTTCGACTCTACAAAAAGAGGAAATGTATAAGATCACACTCTTAAAATATGAATATCGGGATGCACGGAATAGAAACAATTTTTCATAAATGATCGGGGAGGTGTGAATTATTGCTGGATATCTTATGATAAGCAAATGCTGATCAATGTTCTCTTTAAACTATAACAAAGTATATACTGTATAGGGAACTTCAAAGTTTTGTTAATCATTTGCAATTTGAAGTATCAAAATGCATTACATAATGTTATGGTACACTTACGCCCCAGGTTGTCAACAATACCAATGCTAAAATATGCAACTAAAGTGAATATATAAAATAGCATTCAAATTAATTACGATATCATTACGATACTTAACTAGTACTTTTGATCTTAAATTATATTCTAATGAAAATAGATTACTTATATATATGTATGATAGATTAATTATATAATTAAACAATGGGACAACCCCCTAATTACTAAAGGTATGACAATACATTTATATATACAATATATATGCTGGATATGATGACCGTAGATTGTCTCGCATTATATCATGCATCACTCAAATATAAAAGAGCACAGATGCATTTTAAATAACGCAGCCAGACACCCCAAGTCCTAAAATATACACTGAAATGAATAAAATGCAATAATACTCATGCCTATAGAAAAGAATAAGCATACATAGGGTAAGCATACATTCATATGTAATTATCAAGTTCACACGTTTAATGTATCAAAGGTATTCAAACACTCATACCCTCACACATATACTCACACAGAATAACACACAATCTCTTAATTTTAAATAAATGTAATGTTACTTACCGAATTGTCCGTTTAATATCCAACTGGAATGTTTGGATTATTAGTTCTGTATACTCACGCAATTCGTCATTCAATTTTGGAATAAATATAATTTAATGAGGTTAAAGCACCACCACCAGTTTTGAGGAAATACATTTTGATGTATTTCATTGTTGACGGCTAGTAGTATGGTATTCTCCACCCCTAGTTATAATTTTTTGTAAAATGCTTGATAAAAACAAGTAATTGCAATTATAAAATTGAATGAATAAGTAACAAAAAAGAACAGTCAAGTAATAACCAAAACCTGAGGCACTGCAATGTTCAAAAAGAGACAGTGTTTGTCAAACATAATTTCTTCAAAGAACACTGGGCAGCCAATGCGTTTTAAAAGTGATCTGTACTATGCTCTTGCATATCATATTATATTGTGTCTCTTAACTTCATGATTTAATAAAAAATAATATAAGATAAACTGGTCTAATAAAAGTAATATAATGTTAACATTATTGTTGGTATAAACACGAAATGATCAAGATTAATCGCAAACCTAATCCTGCTTCATAAAAGTCAGTTGTCCATCTATCTGTTGGTTGACTGGTTACATCAGTGGCCATCTCTGTTGTCATTATTATGGACTCTGTTGATAGGACGGTAGATGTATCTGGGAAATCTAAGAAATGTTCGTTTTTGTTAGAGACATACATAAGTGTATACAATGTGGTCAAAAAATGGGACACTCGTACTTCAAAAACAAATATTAATATTTTGATGAAAACATGTCATATTATATACCAGTGGATGAGGAATTCACTTATCTTTAATTTGGTATATCATAAGTTCAAATTTATTATAATATCTGTCAACCAGCGTCCATAATATAAATTACGTCATTTTCGTTTAGAATGGGTTTTCCAAAACTTGCAAAAACTAAGTTTTATTGTCAGCTTTATTTGCATAAACAGACGCCGTTCAATTTGTCCACCATTTTGATCAATTGTAGCCCTCAATTTTGGTCTAAGCTGGCCAATAGCATCATTGATATGCTGTTGAGACAATTAATTTCACTTCTCAATAATTGAATTATGTCCTTAAGAGACTGGATAGATGTAAAGGATTCCTGTTACACCAATTCTTTAGTTCTCCCAATATGTGATAGTAGCTGACGTTGGGTGATAAGGTAATCTGGAGGAGGCAGCGATTAGGCCTAGTAAATCTAAGCACATTTTCCCTTAAACATTTGACACTCCAGTGAGATATATAAATGTAATGATTCGAGAATGAGCTCATGGTACACCAATTCTTTAGTTCTCCCAATACGTGGTAGAAGCTGACGTTGGGTGATCGGGTAATCAGGGGGAGGCAGTGATTAGATGGAATGAATCTAAGCATATTTTCCCTTAAACATTTGACACTCTTGTGAGATATATTGCTTGGAGCCCCATCTTGTTGGAAAATGTAATGATTCGAGAATGACCTCATGGTACACCAATTCTTTAGTTCTCCCAATACGTGGTAGTAGCTGACGTTGGGGTTTGGTGATTGGGTGATCTGAGGGAGGCAGTGATTAGGCGGAATGAATCTAAGCACATTTTTCCTTAAACATTTGACACTCTTGTGAGATATATTGCTTGGCGCCCAATCTTGTTGGAAAATGTAATGATTCGAGAATGAGCTCATATCAGGATGGTCTAAAACAACATAATTGGATAATGTGATGTCAATGTCTGCGACTACCACGTATTCGAATAACTTACATAATTGGTTTACCATGAACCCCTCACATCTCATCAGTCAGTCCCTTATTATCCCACCGAACGAAGTTCGAGGGGGATATAGGAAAGCGGTCCGTCCGTACGATCGTCTGTTTTTACCGGGCGATAACTCAAATACCAGTTGACAGATTTAATTCTAATTTTAAAGGCTTATGCCTTACGGGGGTAGAACCTCTGTTCGATAAGGAATTTTCAATATGGCCGCTAAATTCAATTCGTAAATAATATAATCTTTGATAACTCGAATACTATTGAACGTATTCGGTTCAAATTTTATATGCTGATGCTTAGGGATAATGGAGGTATGCCGTTGAAGAGATTTTCAAAATGGCTGCTAAATATAAAAATGGCGACCATTTGGTTCAAATTTTAAATGCTGAAGCCTAGGGACAAAATAGATTTGTTCAAGAAATTTCAAAATGGCGGCCATTTTATGTAAAAAAAAACATAATCTTTGACAACTCAAACACTAGTTGACAGATTTGATTCAAATGTTATGTGCTGATGCTTAGGAACAAAGGAGCTATGCTTTAGAGGAGATTTTAGAGGAGATTTTAAAAATGGCTGCTTAATATCAAAATGGCGGCCATTTTTCGTAAAAACGTAATCTTTGATAACTCAAATACCAGTGAACGGAGTTGGTTAACATTTTATATGATGATGCCTAGGGATAAATTAAATTTCTTCAAGAAAGAATTTAAAAGATGGCGGCTGAATTTCAAAATGGCCACCATTTTCATAGGGACAAACAAGCTATGCTCAAAAAGGAATTTTAAGGATGGCCAACAATAATCAAAATATGTTTTGGTCGGTGGGATTTGCTACTCCGTGGAGTTGCTGTTTATCTAGTTAAGGATAGACTTGTTGAGAAATGGAATTCATAATCTCATCAATGGTGTTTTTGACCAGTTTATGCCAAAATTGAGGGCTATAATTGATCAAAATGTCGACATATTGAACGTCTGTTTGTGTAAATAAAGTTGATAAAAAACTTGGTTTTGCAAGTTTTGGAAAACCCGTTTGAGAACTAAAATGATGTAATTTATATTATGGACGCTGGTTGACAAATATTTTTGAATTTATGATATACCAAATTAAAGATAAGTAAATACCATACCCCATCCACTGGTATATAATATGACATGTTTTCATCAAGAAAAACAATATTTATTTTTGAAATACGAATGTCCCATTTTTTGGACCTAATATAGATATATTTGTCGTAGTATGAATTTGAACAAACTCTAGGGACTGGATTTGATAATGAAATGTGATGTATGAATATAAGTACCTCCATCATGATAAAGGAACTGCAACTGCTCAACAGGAACTGTAGAATTCGTAGCAGTATCGAAACAGTTCCATTTTCTTGATATGAGCGTTGGATCATCGACAGGATCAACCACTTTACAAATAACGCCATCCTCTTCGTCTCCTAGTGTAGTGCCAATCACCCATTCTGATGTACTGGACAAAAAATACAGAAATAACGATTCCTGGTCGGACGTGTCTCCATTTATATCTCTGGTCCATTGGTATACAGGTCTGTGATTGAGCCGTGTAGTATCCGTGGTGGTGTAGATTCCGTTTAAGTATGCAAATCTCTCGTCAGATACGTCATCGAGAAGTAATGTGGCACATGTATATTCATCGATGTCTAGAGAAATAATGTAAAATATACATAAATATAGTAGTATGATAAAACAAATAACTGGACTTCACAATGCAGACTTTTTAGCATGGAAGAATCTTCAACCAAGAAGTACAAGAGCTTTTAGATAATACGTCCAGTTTGTCATTTTTTATAGTTGCAATATACGTTTAATTTAAATACAGTAGAACTCACAGGGAACGCAAATTATCCTAGAAACAACATTTTCAGTCCCATCATTATAAAGAACATTTTGTATTAAATCTGGAGATCGAGCTGCGTCAATGACTGATAGCTCCCTCGTTTCTCCTGTGTGGTCTTCAACCTTCGTGATCTCCCAGGTGTTATTTGCACCACGCTTCAGAGCTCTCATCGTAGACTCGTGAGTGTAAACTGGGCTTACATCTGAGTCATTTTTGAGGAAATAGTAACCATACCAACGGATAGCGTTTCGGGTATAATCGACAGCCCAATACTCGCCAGATAAGTAGAGCGTATGACAATCTAGAACATTAATAACAGTGCATATATGGTGTAAAGAATAACGACATGTATCCTGAATTCAATCTTATGATTTTTATCCAAAAACACATGATCATGATACGTTAACGTTCGTTTTTTGTAAAAACAAATTGATATCAAGGAAAAATAAGTACTAACTATTCGACAAAAATGCAGCATATTTGTCTCTATCTTGGCCCGTAACATTCACGATCAGTTCTGTAAGAAAATAATACTTATTTATTTAGAAAAAGTTATATAGAAAAAGAATAGATTATAAATACTGACACCAGGAGGTATATAAAAGTTAACCTGCGATGAAAATACTTATACTATTGATGGAAACGTAATTTGACTTTAATTCCAATACCTCCAAATTTTCTCAATTTTTTCCCTCAATTACAATAGGTCGTAAATTGATGATAAATTTGATGAATTTTTGAAAATCGACATTCCCATGTTAACCAATGCGAAATGGTAGGTTTGCCGCAAGTCATATGACAGAATATCCATCCGTCCGAGTCCTTGCAAAAAATACGAGTTAGGCAGGCAATTGAATTTGCTAACTTTAAAAAATTGATATGTTTCTTCAGGTTCAACCAAGTTATAGGGCTTTAAAGTCAAAATTGTTTTTCAAAAAACCTCTCCCATTGAAATAACACAGGAGGCGAAAAATTATTTTCAAAAATGACTTTGAAGCGCTGTGACTTTAATATTCATCAAATAAACTAAACAATTAGTGTTCAAAAAAGTAAGACAATTCAATTTTCTATATAAAAATATTTTTTGCTGAATCTTTTACTGAAAAGATATCCTGATTTCTGATTTGCCCCGAACCCTTCATTTCCCATTGGATTACATGGGAATGACGATTTTCAAAAAAATTCATCAAATTTATCATCAATTTTCGACCTATTGTAATTGAGGAAAAAATTGAGAAAATTTGGAAGGATTGGAAATAAAGTCAAGTTACGTTTCCATTGTTATTTCATCGCCGGTTAAATAAGTAAAGTAAAGTAAATATAAATTCAAAGGTAAAGAGGCTTTAACACGTAGTTCAATGGGGGAAAAAAGGTTGCCAAGCTTATGGAGGGGAGTGTATGTACATGCATTTTCACTCATGTATTTCACATAATTTATTAGTTAAAAATGGAATAATAGAATGATATAAATTCTGTATAATCAATTAAAGATCCCTTAAGAAAAAAGCCATGGTAACCATGGTATTCCATGGTGCGTCCATGGTAATCCATGGTTTTCCATGGAAATTCATGGTTTTTCATGGTATTTTCCATGGAAATTCATGGATACCCATGGTAATCTTCCATGGATATTTACCATGATTTTCCGTGTTAATTGGTGGTTTGGTAATTGTTTTTTCATGAACATGCCATGTTTTTACCATGACACTTGAGTTGTAAAATCAACAATTTTGGCAGGTTTTGTTTTTACCAAAATCTTCAAAATTGAATCAATATTTTAACGAATGAATCCAAGCTGGATTGAGAATTAGTCTCATTAATCATAAATAAAATAATATGACACCCCCCCCACCCCAAAATCTTTGAGAAAGTCAACCTTCTTGACAAAAGCTGGTTTCAGGCCTGAAATACAACCATGTTTTTACAATCTGAATATATGTTTAGTACATTCTGTACATAGTGTCATATGACAAAGAACTGTTTACTTAATATTTTTTTAATTGCTGATTTGACCCCACAATTAAAAGTAATAATTTGTTTGCTGGGATTTGCTATCATTTAACTTTGGCACTTATGTAAAAAAAGACAAAATAAGTGACAAAATCAGCTCACTGGATTCCCTTATTGCAGACTGAATAAACATTTTTACTTGGAGTAAATCCTATTTGGTTTTATTTGATCAACAATGAGTTTTTGACTTGCACTGTCTACACTCACAGACAATAATAATTACTGAAGAGGGAGCATTAGAAAGAGTAAGATTATCATATATAATAACAATTAGATCAGAATATTTAAGAATTATGCAAATGAACTCTTATAATCTGTTGTAAAGAGATTTATCTTTTGACATTAATTTGAGAGTTAAGACACCTAATTAACATAGAATAATGGCAACCAAATATTTAAAAATAATGCAATTGATTATTTATTCCTATTCAAAGACAAATCAATTTTAATTACTTATACTATGTTTCATGTTTTAAGCCAAATGGTGTTGTTAACCCCCTCCCCTTCCTTCATGCAACTTCTTTTTAAATATAATATTCTTACATAGACAAATTGAATATTTATCACTTAGGTATAACATTTCAGTTTGCAGCCATAGGCTTGTGTTTAATCCCCCATCTCAATTTCATGTCAAAATTCTGTAAAAGTATATACTTTTCTGTGGATTTTTTCAGATAATACGCTTATAAAAGTTGAATGGGACTTAATTTGGAGAAGTTCATTTAGAAACATAATGTATTATTCATTTTTCTGCTTCCAAAAGACCAAACAAATAGCCCATGGAAAACCATGGACTTTCAAAAGATCAAAAGAATAATCATGGAAAACCATGGCTTTTGATTGCACTTTCCAAAACATCAAAGAAATAACCATGGAAAAGCATGGCTTTCGATTGCAATCAACCGTCTTCCATGGCTTTTGATTGCAGTTTTCTCAACTTCAAAGAAAGAAACCATGGTTTTTGATTGTATTCTCAAATGTACGAAATGTAATTTAAGAAAATGAGTTATTTATTTCTTAAATTACTTCATATTGATTTTTAAAACTGAAAATTAAAGAAAGTATTGAAATAAAACAGAGCTTGGGCTAGTTTGACTTAATCTTTTTCAAAGGAAAGAAGTGTTTGGCCTAAAAAATAAGCAATCTCTATCTAGTCTTGATCTACACAAAAGACCTTTGCACAATTGTTTTTGAAATCTTGTGGCCTACTCTCTGCTCTGCTGTTTCACATATTTTCTCATTTGTAAGCTGAGTCTAACATTCAATGAATGTTCTTGCTATACCTTCAAAATGAAATGTCCACCCTTTTTTCTCAATGATAAGTCTCAGTCTAACTGGGATATATCATCAAAACATTCATTTTGGAGATTTTGGTAAATACAAATCCTACCAAAATTGTTGATTTTACATCTCCATGACACATCCATTAAAAACCAATTACCAAACCAACAATTACCACGGAAAATCATGGTAAATATCCATGGAAGATTACCATGGGCGTCCATGAATTTCCATGGAAAATAACATGGAAAACCATGAATTTCCATGGAAAACCATGGATTACCATGGGCGCACCATGGAATACCATGGTTACCATGGCTTTTTTCTTAAGGGATAGTTGTGCAATCTAATATCTGTCTGCTCCTTACCATTTTACCTAAAATATTTCAATTTCTTGCCCTAATATCTTTATGTAGCCAAAGTGTATCTCTTGAACGGAAAGTATGTATTATTGATGCCACATGGTAGATCAGAATTCAAGATGCAATCCCTAAATTAAGCTTGTATCAAATATAACAAATGAGACATATTCAATTCAAGTTATTTGATATGATGTTTAAATCGAGTAAAACATGGGACATACTGTCTGTCTAACAGCTATCCAAGGCAGACATAGGAGAAATTATCGAGTTTAAATTCAATTTGCATTAGAAGTAAGACCAATGGGCAGACCCTATTTAAATAGGGTAACAAATGAAACTGTTTATGTCACATGTTGAGAAATCATATATGGAGAAAATATGATTTTGATTGGAATAAAGACGATACTTATTCAAAAGAGAAAAATATGATATTTTATTTTATCATTTCCTAACAAAAGACGCAAAACTGGCATCTTATCAGAATATTGCCATCAGTTTTGAAAAGCTATAATTAAAACGAGTTTGATAATGAGTTAAAATAAATATTTCGTATGTTAGAAATGCTTATCTAGTGAAAATTTCATGAAAAATTATTGAGAATTGAAAAAGTTATCAGGAAAAAGGGTGTATGACTTGTTCCGTCCCGTCAAGTAAGATCGAGTATGTGAGCTGTTAATGAATAATATGAAAAATGAATAAAATAAATAATCTGAACTGTTTTCAACTAAAACATACACCGACTTTGCTGTCGTTTTGTTGTTGATTTGATGCAGAAACTTGAAAAGAATTCGATGTCGAAACATTAGGATTTTACAGTGTTAAGAGCCTCTGTCAAAAAATCCGCCAAAAGTGCCTATAAACTACATGTAAACTTACAATACACTTAATAAAGGTCCTCCAAAATCTACAATGGACCAATCTATTTTGATATTTTTACAAACTGTTTTCAAATGGCTATGTTGGGCCATCATACCTTTCACATTGCTAGTAGATGCACTTACCATCAACACAAGTTATTTTCATCATTGGTGTGTATGTCCAATTGAATCGAATGTTGACTGGGTCGACAACAACTTCGTATACATAGTTTGCGAGTTGTACATTATAATACAGTTGCCATGCAGGAATCAATCTTCGGGAAGAATCCTGCGCCCATTGCCACCCAAACGTCAGTGTAAGCCGGTTGTTATCAGAATCGGTTAACTGATAGGAGGGACGAGGCACTGTTCCAAGTACAATCTTCGAATAAAGTCCATTGAATACTTCAAACGGTGAGGTATTGATCCCACTGATACTTATCTCATTGCAAGCAGTTGAAACTATCAGAAGAAAACTGATATTAGTCAATTAGCAATGTACGTTTTCTGCACAGAAGAATAGTAAGATTCAACATTGGTGTTGATTAATCATGCGAGAAGTGGTTATATCACAGATTAAACGAATATAGAAAATGATATAGTCGAACTATTATAATAATATGAAATATAATATGTAAGATTTGTTGAGAATAGTTTTCGTCAAAAAGTGCGCATTCGTAAGTCTTTTTACATACCGATTACTCTTTAAAAGATAGCAACGGAACGAATTTTTGGGTTTCTGATATGATTCTGTCCTTATATGTCATTGTAGTTTCAGTTATTATGAAATATTATATTGATATACTACCAGAAAAACATGAGAATGCTGCTCCAGGCCATTCAACCTGATTGATACGTATCGGAGCTGTTATATCTTCTGGATAGATACTTTGATCTGTGATCAATGCAAGTGGATTCATTTGCTGACTGTCATCGAGAATGCTAGCAGGGCTTTTGAAATGCAGCACCCATCCTATAGGGTTCATCTTGAACAGATATAGGCTGCTATGTAATTGATGGTGGTATACAGGTCGATTGTTATATGTTTGTGTTTCGTCTAATATCCAAAGCCCAAATATATTTGTCTCAGATGTAAGTACGCCTGGTGGCATATAAGTCGACGAGTCTAAATAGAGGGTCTTGCATGGGTCATGCTCTGTAACAAAAATCATAATAATTTACATTCACAAAATTCTTTTTATATGCATTTAAAACTGTTGCATGTGATATTAATGATAAATATTTTTAATCATTTTGTAGCATACGCTTGCGGTTGCTTTGAAGTACCTTTAAAGCAGAGAAATCTCAACGTAGATATTTCAGCCCAGTTAGAATTATTCAACTCCTCTCGTAGACTGCCTGGATTAATCAACTCTGGGTAGAATGCACCATCTCTTATCCGAATGTAGGGTTCTGTATCACCTACTGACTCACTTAGGAACCAATAACTCGACAATGGTGTTGTTACGTGGTACAGCTTTACGGTACGCTGAACGCTACCGGGTTCATCCAACGTGTACACTGGGCGACCATCTGATGTTTCATTTGTGAGAGTGTAGATACCGAACCACTCTGTCTGAGATGGCGGCCGATCTGGATTTATATCCGATGTCAAGTGAAGCCTGTCACACGGAGGCGTAGCTAGAAAACATGAATATATGCTGCCCATATGGAAATACATTTGTCAATGTTGTACAATCGTTGTACATATGAGTGTAAATGTTATAACGTTAAAATATTCAGTTTTACATAAGACTTACATGGTTTGCATTGGAAAGATGCAACGTCTTCGTTATGACTCATGTTACCATCTTTAAATATCCATCCAGTGATTGTAGTTACATGTATATCAACGGAAGCTGATATGGCGAGTATGTTTGCATTGTCAGCCCCATTGGAGCCATCAGCCAAGATCCAATGGTCAAAAGGAACATAGTATATATAGTAATCCTCTGTGTTATGTTTGTAGGAAGCGCGATTATTGACGGTGCCCATTGTTTCATACACACCAGCGTACTTTGTAGCTATGATTGGCGTCTGTACACCAGTCAGGCTAATATAAGAACATGTCGGTGTCGCCTCTAAAATAGAAATTAGCCAATGCCAGTATAAAGCATTCTAATTACACAAACAAAAGTAGATATTATAAAATGATTAAAACAATTCTGTATGAACCACATTTGAAATCCAACCAGTTTCAAAATATGACAAATAATGTCATATAAAAAATCATTTCGAAAATTAAATAGTCCCCTCGACTTTTTATGTTAACTTATATTAGGTTGATACTTTACACAAGAAATAATCCCAAAACTCAGATGTTATGGCGTACTCTAAACACACTGACATACTTTAAGTAATTCATTAAAAGCAATGTTTTACCTTGCAGGCACTGTACTTCGATATTGGTTGTACTATTCCATGTTTCAGTTATGGTATCGGGTGTGCCAGCGAAAGAAGCAACACTATAGATACCAGAAACATCATTGATATCCTCCCCTATGTGCCAGTATTCAGATTTGTGGTACATATACCACTTGTTCTGTTCATGTGTGTAAAGAGGCCTACCATTGGAAAACTTATTTGATAAGAAATAAAGGCCCAACAAACGGCGATCATTTGGCCCTGAGACGAAAACAGTATCACATGGTATTGTGTCTAAAATGTAACAAAACTGTGTGTCATTATATAGAATGCCACATACATTGAAGCATGACAAAGTAAACATATGTACATTAACAAAGAAATGCTCTTACCAAATAAATAGGGGTATATGTTAACATCGACAATGGAACCAGTCGGATTTGTCCAGTACGTTGTGATATCCACGGGGACTTTTTCACTCGTTTCTGTTCTCACGTGGTACATATTGGTATCAGGGGGAAATTTATCGCTGATGTACCACATTGCCTGACCATCAAGACACATGGAGAACAAAGAAAAACCACTACTGCTTGTGTAGACTGGTTTACGATTGCTCAAGAAGTCATCTTTTAATGTATAAATGCCAGAGTCTATTGAAGATAATTCTGTTGATATCCATATTGTATCAGCATATTCTAAAATGACAAAAATACTTTTAAGTTGAACTATTCTTGGCTACCAAAGTAATAGGACTCTTTCGTTGGTGTTTTGACCAGATAGCTTAAGATGAGGTTGAATTACTCGTATACCTGTCACTTCAAGTTCAACGGTGCATATCTGTGTCTCTACAAGTCCGCTAGGTACGCTAATTGTACAAGTTGCTATAGATGTCGCGACTTTGTCTGCCGTATCAGTGTACGTTGCTATTGATTGGTTTGCATGATCGCTAATCTCATTTGAAAATGTGGATGTGGCATCATCGTCGTGTTTATACCATTTTATTGTGGGGAAGTAAGACTCATCTCTAGGTCCCCAAAAACTTGTGCCGCATTCTAATTCAAACTCCTGGCCTTTTAGGATTTGTTGAGGAGTTTGTGGACATGTCCTATATCCTACAACCAGATGAATCAATAGCATATGGATGGATTCTATCTTTGGGTGCATGTGTTTTACACTCTAAATAGCTATGCTAAGTATACACTTTTTAGATGACATGTTTATTTTACCAGTTTCAGCCATTTTTTAGCCTGCAAGTACTGCAAGTATTGTGTACATGATTGGACTAATGCCCCGAAAAATGGTCCATATTAGACATGTGGAAATATGTAACTGTTATATTTAAAAGATATTGATGAACGTTTCTATATTTGGGGAAATTCCTAGCAGTAGACAATTGGTGGTCATTGAGCCGATGAATAACGATCTTCAAATAATAAAAATCAAATTGACATTTCTAACATTTTGAAGGACTTTAGGGCAGTAAATCTGCTCCGATAACTGATAACTAAAATGTTTTGGTAGTTGGGCGCCATGAAAAATAATACTTACTGATTATAGTGAGGTATGCATCATGGATGGTCTCATTGGTATCTCCATTTATACACCAGTAGCGTCCAGCATCCCCTTTGTTGACATCTTTAACTTGAAGACTAAATGTTCCATTTACTCTATATTTAGACTCGTCATACGGCTCTTTACTAGCAGTGATATTAGCATTCAGTGTTAATTGCGTTACCCCAAATATCGGAAGATCTTTAAACCAACTAACATTTTGGACGTCATCTACATCAACTGGACACTCCAGAATCGCAGTCTCTAGTTCCCCGCCAACTACACTCACTTCATCATATGTACCTACAAGGCACGACTCTTATAAAATGTAACGTGACAAACATGACAGTATTCGACAGCCCTCAATTTTGTGCCCTCGCATCAAACTAATTAAAAACCTCGATTTGACGTTTAGTTTCAATTTTGTCTTTTGCCTGTAATACAGGCGATACAGATTCGATGCAGGGAAAGCGTATATATAGATTGCATTTTATGAGGTCACCCTGCATGTATTGTATTGTATTGTATCTTTATTTCCTCCTTATAAGAAGATTTACAAATTTATAGAACAAAAACAACTTTAAAATTTACATATTACAAAGTAGTTCTGCAATTATCGCAGCATTTCATAGTAAGTATCTATTTACACCTATTCATATAAAACATATATACGCGCATTGAATTAGCATGATTTAAAGAAAATGTCTATGTGTGCTAAGCCCCTTGCACACGAAAGAATGAACTCGGTAAATTGAGTATCATCGAGTTGAAAGTCAACTCTGCTGCCAAGTATTGTTTCTAAGACTATATTTTCCTCCATGTCGAGTAATTTGACACAATTCTCTACTGACAGAGAGTTGAAAATATAGTTTTCAATGAAATCATTCTTTTCATTTATAAGTTCACCACATTTCATGAAATGTGTGACTATCGAGCCAGTAAAATCTTTGCAACGTTTACATTGATATAACCTAAATCTTGCAGGTGTGGTCAAATACAATATGTGGGCTAATTCCCAAAGTTGCTCGGTAGCCTTTTGACCAAGTGTCCATAAAACCGAAGGTTCTATTGACAATTGTACATTCGAAAATAATGATAATGAATCATCCGCATTTACTCGGGCACGCCATTTTGTTTCTTCATTTAATTTTATTTGATTAGTACACATCATTTTAAATTTTACTTTGGTCATAAGTTGGCCAGATCTGAGAAAGTCTTGAATTGACTCCTGTACATAGTCATACTCCATTGACATGACGTCTTTAATAAGACCGTTACAGATTTCATTTTTCTGAACTAAAAATGAGGAGAGTCTATATAGAAACAATTGTTTTGTGAAAACATGAGTTGCTCTGCATAGTCTATCGAAAAACAACACCTTTGCTCTATCTATATAACTCTCAATTGACAGTAAACCGAGCGTAGAGAGGACAACTTCCGATGAGACGTTTTGCTCAAATCCTTGCATTATTTTTGCAATTTTTCGAATGGTAACGTTAAGTGCGTGTAGTTCTACATTGGATGTTGTCCATAACTCGCAGCCGAACATGGCAGCGGGAAACACAATTGTTTTTAATAGCTTAACGGCAACAAGGGGGTTAATGCCACCTTTGCCAATACCAATAGGTTTGATGGAGTAAAAAATGTTGAGCATTTTACGCTTAGCTTGTTGCATTGCTTCAATGTCAGTTAATTGAGCATCAAGTGTGTTTCCAGCGTAGCACTGCGTTCTGGTTTCAGGTACAATATCATCTTGCAAGTGCCACATGCGCATTCCTTGACTGTCTCTGAAATGTTTAGTACTTTCATTAAAAGTGATGATTTTACTTTTGCTGTTCTGACCAGAATGATATGACATTCTCCATTTTGAGCTATATTTTGATACACTATTTAATAATTTTTGGAGCTCATCTGGAGTTGTGCCAATAATTGTGGTGTCATCAGCCACCAGTACTGCAGGGATGCGCATATCACCTATTATTGCACCCAAGCCTGTATCGCATAGTTCTTCAATAAGAGCATTAATGTACACCAGGAACCAGAGTGCACTACTGACTCGACCTTGACCTACTCCCTGTGTAATTTGAAATTCTCTAGAGTACTTTCCATTATAAAGTACTCTGGAAGTGGTATTTTCATAACTATCGACAATTAAACGCCAACTTTTACCATTTAGCCCCAGATTAAATAGTTTGTGAAACAGGCCCTTCCGCCACAACAAATCATAGGCCTTTTGGTTATCTAAAAAAGCAATGTACAGTAAGCTCTCTCTCTCAGAGTAAAATTGAATAAGTTCCTTAAGGACAAACACTGCGAATTGGCTACACGCGCCTTCTTGGTATGCAAATTGCAGATTGTGTGGACACCCTTGAAGCTTCAATATTGGTATAGTTCTGTTTGTGAAAATTCTTTCCCAGACCTTAAAAATACAAGACGTCAAAGTAAGACCTCTAAAGTTGTCTCTATCCATAGGATCTTTGCCCTTTCCCTTAAACAAGGAGATCATAATACCTATTTTGAAGCTTTGTGGAACTTTGCACATGCTTATCATTGCATTAAAAACCTTATTAAGAAAATGTAATACGTCAGAGCTACTGTACTTAAGATGCTCGATTGTCACAAGATCATAACCAGGAGACTTGTTATTTGAAAAGGTAGCAATGCTTTGTTCAATTTCGGATACGGTTATTGGATTTTCGAATATGCCGTCATTATTAGAGAGCGACTGTGTCATTAAATAAGGATGCTCGTGATCAATGAGATTCTTGAAATTGTCATCGAAATGTGGCATGGATAATTCTGTACCAAGTGTTTCAAAATGGCAAGCCCATAATTCCCGAATTTGATCTGGATCGCGTATAATTTCAGTGCCAAGTCTGAGTTCATGACCACACGGTTTCCTACCTTTAGCCTTATGACTGTTTAACATCTTATAAAAAAGGGCGCTGTCACATTCAGCAGCAGTTTGAAACTGTAAAATTTGCTCATTTTCGTATTCTAATTTGAGCTTTCTCATATGTCTTCTAAAATGTCTCTTTTTAAGTTTGTACTTAAGAAAAGAATCGTGATCGAGACCACGTGGTCTTCCGGCTTGTATCCAAGCAACACGCGCAGTCCGCATTTCTGCATGAAGGATTTTTAAATCTCCTTTATTCCAAAAGGGCTTTAAGTATTTCCGGAACCGGGATCTCGGAATGTGTTTGCTGCTGGCATTGACAAGAGTATCAGCAAGAGCACGAACAGCTGAATCTAGGCCACTAATTGTGGTGAAATCGGCAGTACTTGTTATTTGTGACAATTGAGTTTTAACATCATTGGAGAATAATTGTTTCTGTGTAAAAGTGGCTTTGCGCCATCTAGGTATATTCCTAGCCTCGCAAGAATAGTCGATTAGACTTAGTGGTAGTGACATATTAACATTCATTATAACTGGGTGGTGATCAGACACATTGTGTGGATGATCATCAATAACTCTACATTGTTCTATGATATCGAACTTGTTTGTAGGTACAAATAAATAATCGACGCATGACGAGGCATTATTGCGAAAAAATGTGTGTTTGGGGCCCGTTGTAAGATTTTGAGCATTAACGGCTAAAAGGTTTGAATCAAAGACCCATTTTTCTAGCAATAGTCCCCGGTCATTTGCCAAATCACATCTAGGTCCACTTTTCGAACCGAGGTGACCGTTGAAGTCACCGGTAAACATGATTGTTCCCAAAGACGAATAAGTGCAATAGAGACTATACAGATGATCTATCCAGTCAATATATTCATTTATTGGATGATTTGCCGAAGGCATGTATACAGCAAATATGAACAAACTGCAGTTACCCTCTGTTACAATTTCTATGCCACATATTCTGTCTTCAATGCTAATTTTGTTTCGCACAATGAGAGATTTATTGTACAGTATTGCTATGCCACCATGACCTCTTCGCACAGCGTCATCGACGGAAAGGTCTTTTTGTGATATACCATGTGAATCATAATTCAAATCAAGAGTGTTTAGAAAACTTAAATTGTCTGGGTACAACCAATGCTCAGTTAAGGTAACAATATGATAGTTGGGCAGAATGTTCGTAAGAAAAGGACTACCATACATTATACCCTTACAATTCCAAGTCATGACGCTGAGTGACTTGTCATTTAGTGACATAGTAATGTAGATAAAAATATGCAGTATCAGATATAAGGACAGGTTCATAGGCAATACATAGATCCTTGGTACAAGTCATCTTGGTATTGGTCGTTGTCCCAATCCTCGTCAGACTGACTGATGTTGCCTTTATTGTAATACTGAGAATCACCTTCCTGAGCATTTTGTGTTCTCTTTTGCTCATATTCAAAATGAGAAACATACGGTCTGGATTCGATTAAGGTCGGCCAGAAATGTTCATTCAGTGCTTTTGCGTAATGACTGGCTAAAACATTTACTCGTATTAGTAGCCATTCTCCATTGAATGATGTTTTCCTTGACATAACCTTAAAACCAGTGACAGTAACACCCCCTTTAAGTGCATAATTAACAAGGTGCTTTCGAAGCGTGTTGTATGGTTGTGATTTGACATGAGCAAGAACAATCTTTTTTGTTCGTGTTCTACGCACACGTACTCCGACAAAGTCATCATCACTATTGCAACTGGCATTATCAGCATCCAAGTTAGCTTTTGTTATGGCTTGGCGATGGGGCCACATCTGAGATTGTCGAATATCGGTACTTGTCCTGTCGGTACCAGCGGACGATGTAGTGCGCGTAGCTGTGTCACGTGCATTGCTTAAATAAGTAGATTTTGGTGCACTACACCTTACAGGAATATTGCGTGCGATGCTTGTGTTCTTGCTAGTAGCTGCTTGGGACATGGTGGGTGTATGAGATGCACTGCATTCAATAGAAACATCGGATGCGCTACAGGTGACTGCCCCACTATTGGTTTTAACTGCAGAAGTACAGGTAGCAGTTGGTGCGCTGCATGTGCTAGAAGCACTAAGCGTAATGGGCGTAGCGGGAACATTGGAAATATCCTTTGTACTTGAAGCAGAACATTTGTTGGCTCCAGTGGGTACAGTGGGAGGATTTAAGGGTATTCCCCACACACTTGTGGGTACAGCTGATGTGTTATTCAAGCTACCGCTTGTATTTGGGGGGCCACTTAAAGACCTGGACCTATCTTGCACATTATCGTTGTTTGAGCTTGGAAGTTGCTCTTGATTCATTGTGATAGCTACACTGCGAGAAGAGGACTTTTCCAATGCGCTTACTTTGTTTTGTATTGTCTGGATTTGCTTTAACAGCTTTGTTTTTGTTTCATTGATATCTGTTGTGAGTTTGTTTATGTCTGTTTGTTGATCATTGATTTTTGCCTTCGCTATCTTTAAGTCATTTTTTAACTTCTGTTCGCTATCCTTGCATCTGTTAAGTTCATTCTGCTTTATTTCAATTACATTATTGAGTTCTTTTACTTTTGATTTTGTAGACTTTGCGATTTCAGCCTTGAGTTCATTGATTTCAGTTGCAACGTTAGATTTGAGTTCAAGAACGTTTTTGAGTATAATTGCTAGTTGGTCATCACTGTTTTTGTGTCTCATTGTATCATCGATAGGGTTGTGAACAACTGATTTTCTGTTTGTCTTTGCCTTAGGATTTAACAGTGTCTTAATATCCGACAGGTTAGAAGCTCCATTGATGAAATGGAAAAGATGATATATATCACATGCCAGCTTTTCTTTAACAGAAGTGCTTGTTTGTTTGTTTTTCCTACTGGGTAGACGACGAATAAGCGCACCTGGTGGCATGGCATTGCTGCGATTGATTCGTGCATAATCAAATAAAGCATCTCTGGAATGAACTAATCCGTCAACATCTTGGTGGTCGCATAGTCTTTTAATGAATAACGCTTTGTCTGCACCGGAACACAATTCTTTAATTTCATTAATGATATCATTTTCGGTCTGGGTAGCTATTGGGGTGGGATTAAAGTCATCATAATCACTGAGAAAATCACCACTAGTTGATTCCATACAATTGTCACTATCATTTGTGGAATCGTCATCAATTTCTATATCTGCAGGCACATGCACTTTGGTAGAAAGTGGCATTGTATCAGATTCTGGTAAAAGATCTGCTGTTTTGCGTCGCTCAAATCAAAACATACAATTCCGAGGTTGTCGCAACCTTGCTAGGTAAGAATAGAGCGAGTAGGGCTCCAAAGATGTATAACTAGTCTATTATCAGCGCGTACTTATACACTAAGTGTTCAATCAGCGAGTTATACACGGGGAAGGGCCACACGTCAAATGGCGGGAAATTCTTGCATGGCTGTGGTGTGAAAGGCCCTGAACATGTATAATCAGATTTTTCAGCAGCGTAACATGTAGACTAAGTGTTCAAGATGCAAATAATACACAGGGACGGGCCAAGGAAAAAATGGCGACGAAATCCGTGTATGGAAGATTTAGAAAAAAAGTTTATGTCAATATTACAATCCTTCTTTCACAGAATAACTCACTTAGAAGGGTGCGTTGTATCCTCAAGGAGTTCCTATATCCAATTATGTGCAATAACTCGGTATCTGAAGCCTGGAATAGTCCAAAATCGAGAAATATTGCGGAGCTACATTTTTTGCTACATTTTTTTATCAGCCTCGTTCTCAATATTGGTATTATCGATTTATTTATTGTTGTGAAACATTATTTCAGTAAGGGCTGTATTAATCTTTTCTAAATTGAATCTATATGTCATTTGTCCGAACCGCGTCAGCTTCTTATGTTTATCCATCTATCCCTCACCCCTCAAATGCCCGATTTTTTATTGCTCATCCCGATTTATTTTTTCAAAATCCCGATTTTTATCCCGATTTTAAGAAAATATTCCAATTTTTCGTTAAATATCCCGATTTTTTTCATGAAATATCCCGATTTTGCGTTCAAAACTCCCGATTTGTTAATGATACATTCCGATTTTTTTAGCATTTTTGAGACTCATTTTTGTGATAAAACGAAATAGCTTACTACACATACCGTTTGCTTATTTAATCTTCTTTAAACTATTTGAAACCAGAATTTTATTTAATCGATCATTCAGAGACTGAGATATTCAATACAGCGTACTGAACGAATAGATACGTTTTTATTGACAGTATTCTTTGACTTCGTGTATAACACAAACACGTATGCTTTATCACAAAGATAATTGATTGTGTGAGGACTAGATGCAGATTACATAATTGGTTTAATGTAGATGATGTCTCATGAATATATTAATAAACAAAGATGGCAAATGGCCCAAATGCAATTAGAAAACGTATTTATCAATTTGTCTATGTTAACCCCGATTTCCTCCTGAATTTTATTGTGAACTACCGATTTTCTCCCGATTATCCAAATCAATACCGATTTTCTCCCAATTTTCATTGTAAACTCCTAATTTCTCCCGATTTTGTATAGAAATCCCGATTTTCTCCCGATTTTTCTTAAAAATATCATGCTTTTCACCCCATTTTTTTTTAAATATCCCGACTTCTCCCGATTTAAAAAAATGAATATCCCGATTTTCATTATTTTACTTGACAGGTACATGTATGCTATCCTATAATTTGAAGACCCCTTAATTTTTATCTTTATTCCTGTTAAAAAGACTCATTATATGTTATTTGTATCAAACTAGCTTGTTAAATAAAATGTCTAAGACATAGATGTGTACGTGACCATGTTTTGCTTGTTTTCTATGGTAACGTTCGTGTTTTAAGAAATGAATTAAAGAAAGGGTGTGTTAGTAAACTTTTAACCTTAAGTATATCCCTTGGTGATGTATTATTCGGTAGTTTAACATTTTTATAACAATTTATTATCATTTGGCGTGAATCAAGTTTCTTTTGTATCGCTACTATATGTCAAAGTCATAATACACCTTTTGTTTATTGAAAATGTTTGCTTTAAAAGTGACCCTCGTATGAACAATTTAATGGTAAACATTAACTTTTTAACGTATAATACACACGTATTAAGTCTGTCCTCATTTCGTATACTTGAACATATGGCCCTTAGATAAAGAAAATATATTCGGCGTCATCGAGGAGAGGTAACAGTACACCAAAATAATATTTCAGGGTGACAATATTCTCAAAAAGTAATGTTTTTGCACAAAAATTAAGCAGAACTTTTTTATCATATGCTCCACGATATGTGAAATTCTTGCAACAAGCAGGAGAGAAATTTTACAAAATCGAGCATAATCTAGAGATAATAAGATTTCGTTTTGACTTCTTTCTATGATGCCTATGGTTTTTATGATTGTAAATAATGCTATATGCATCACTGGAAATGACATTTAATTATCATATCTTAAAAGAATGCTAGATGCGACCAGTTTCACTTACCAGATGTATCCCTCTTCTCCCTGAGAGTCCCTTTGGCGTGAATACCTGAACTATACTCATTGAAAAAGGCTGGATCTGGAATTCTGCAGGGTGATCCGGTGGTACATCCTGAAGGGATGTAATTCCCAAGAGTATTTGAGACACGAGTCGTTTGTGCGCGTACATCATATAGCGTAGTTTTCCCATTTTTTACAATTTCAGCCTGATCGTTCTCCGTAATTGTATCAATTCTAGAAAGATTCGGCAATGGATAATACGTCTTAGAATGCCGCTGATTGATTCCCGGCCAGGTGGATTTAGAATCAATATTTGGATTTCCGTGTGTTCCTAATAACAGCAAGACTATAACAGCGATTGCTTGTGCCATCGTGGATAATGCCACGCAGTTCATCCGCGAACTTACACACATGCTACTGATCTCCAGGTATCCATCGGTATCATCCACACCCTATGTGACATATGAACTTTCACAAGGATAAAAGGATTTTCCTATTTTATTAATAAAAGGGCTCATCACTGAATATCTCCATCAGATAAAATTGTTTTTAACAAAGTCTAAATTACATTGGAGCGAATGTCATGCTCGGTGAATTGTAAATTCTTTTTTTGTAAAATAACAAGCGAATGCCTTTCAGTGAAAGTGAGATGTCTTGTCTATAAATTAAGGTATTTTCAGTTTCCAAAACAACAATGCCGGTTGGTATATAAAGGGAAACATTACCGCAGGTTAGCAGGTAAAGTCTAGACTTAAATCCTAATTACAGTGACAGAAAATCTTTTTTTGCCATCACTTCTTTTATCATTCTTTGATTTTCTTTATAGGGTATAGCTTAGTTATGATTCTGAAATGTAAGCTGAATACGTCCACAAATATCACTGCAAATTAAGGAAACCCTCATTGTTTGTTAACTTCAGTAAGGGTTTAATATTTTCTAATTAAACCCTAAACAAAATGTAGCATTACAATAGCAAAACTATTTGTAATTAGATCAAAATACCATTAAGCTATAGTCATACATTACTGTATTTTAAGTAATGTAGATGAATTTATAAAAAAGCTAATTATTATAAGAAATTGTGAAATATTTGATTGTACATTTATTAACACTATTTTATTCTTATTATTTAGACATATGCTTTTCAAAAAGCAGCACTCAATTATCTTATTTATAACGTAAGGTGCGTCTACATACAATATCACATATTATCAATGTTTCAATATAAGATAATCCGTCTGTTCAGATGTAGCAAAAATATAACAGTTAAACCAATATGTAGATGGTCCATATATATATAATTTTATACATTGATATTGATTTCATAATTCAAGTATTATAATATGTCATTCTTACCCCAGTCTTTTTTTTATTTTTTTTTTATTTATCTATCATGTTACTTTTCTTATTAACTTAAGTTGTTAAATATCCATCGGAATGTGGCGTTCTGTACTTCTTCGTTCTTGTATTGGTTAAATCGTAATCATACTCGGACGCGTATCCTCTGTTAGAATCATGATTTGAATATCTACTTGTTCTATCGTGGTCAAAAAGTTGGTATGGTAATGTTCCGGGTGCTATTCTTACTAAACTGCCACTGTTATAAGTGGGTATTAGTTTTGGGATATGCATGACAAAATCATCTCTTGAGGAGGTACTTATATATCCATGATCGACAACCCGATCCATGTCAATAAATTGATTGATTCTGTTTTCATATAATCCATTATGTAGACCTTTTTGATATGTGCTTGACACAGAAGAGCTTGTCTCATCTGAGTAAAGTCTCTCTTTTCTTCTTATCCTCAATATACAAAACACAATCACTGCGATAAGTATGGCGGTGCATAACAATGATGCTATAATTGCACCAAACAGGGAAGAGTCGGACATCCCTAAAATTAGAACATTAACAATAGATGACATAATGTTGCAATGAATCTTCTAAATAAGTCGTATCGTTACGATAGGCTATATTTAGCCGTGAGTTACATCAGAGTGTAAAATAAAATGTCAATGCTGACAATCGACGACATGCATAATGCGTCAAAAGTGTCGATAGGTACCTCTCACTTCAATTACGTTTTCCTTATTACTACTTAATCGCAAACCCTGAATATGATTTTTAATTCATTTTTACTCAATAAAGGTGACATCTTTCCATTACGAGGCACTATCAATATGTCAAACACACTAACACACAAATGGAACATCAAGGATTAAGACCAGTCAGTAATAATAGTATACAACTTGAGCTAATAAATGTATATCAAGTCAAAATGTACCTTGGTTAACAGACACCGATGTAGTTGAATGGGTCAATGTTGTGTTCTCCTCCTCAAGATGTACCGTGGTTACAACTGATGGTACATTTGTTGCCGTTGTTGACTCTACTATAATTTGAAATCGTCCATGTCTTAAATATATGATGAAATGTAAACTCAATTTGCAATTGTTAAAATGTACTTAATTCATAAATTAATTAATGTTTATAAAATCGTAAATGTACCTTGGTTTACAGAGAGTGATGTAGTCGAATGGGTCAATGTTGTGTTCTCATCTTCATGATGAACCGTGGTTACAACTGATGGTACATTTGTTGCCGTTGTTGACTCTACTATAATTTGAAATCGTCCATGTCTTAAATATATGATGAAATGTAAACTCAATTTGTTTAAATGTACTTAATTCATAAATTAATAAATGTTTATAAAATCGTAAATGTACCTTGGTTTACAGACAGTGATGTAGTCGAATAGGTCAATGTTGTGTTCTCCTCTTCATGATGAACCGTGGTTACAACTGATGGTACATTTGTTGCCGTTTTGGACTCTACAATTATTTGAAATCGTCCATGTCTTAAATATATGATGCAATTTAAACTCACTTCGTTTAAATGTATTAGGGTCGTTCGAAAGGTTCTGCACGAAAGCTTCTCAAGAGAAGAGATTTTATCGTTTTTACATGAAATTTGATACAGATATAGTATCACCCTTCTTACAAGCAAATATGAAATTTCAGGACCACTTCCTGAGATATTGACTTTAAAATGTGAACCCATGGGCCCATGGTACATAAGACGTTATTAAATTGAATTGATTTTAGGAATGCCTTGATTTAGGCTGAAATGGTTCGGTCAATCTTTGTTCTTTCAGCTGTTAGTCAAGTTGTGTTATAACTAATTTATATTAGATCTAAATATATACATGTAGTACTTAATATGTAGTTTTTCTTTTTAGTAATCTCAATCAGTACATTGTCCCTTCCTTCTAATTCCATCTTGGAATACTTCACAATGCCAATTGGAGTCATTATATGCAATATGTATTAATGCATGAATGCATGATCGTCTGTAGTACGGTTTACCAATTTTTTCTCATGTATTCTATCAATGTTTTCTGCTTCAACCTTATTATTTCGACCCATAACGTCATAAAATCAGGTGATTTTTTCAAGATGTTTGAAGAGTATGTTAACTGTCATTCTTTGGCATGATCAAAGAAAACAAGATGGGAAATATTGATATAAGATTCACTTTTGTCACGAGAACAAAACTAGATATAGTTCAAACCTACGTTGACAGTTTATCATCCTCCGATCGCAGGGCTTCAAAATCCAGAATATATTCTTTCTTTTTACCCCTGCGATAAGCAGTTACCATTTCCCTGATTAAGAACTCGCAGTCTGATTGGCTGTCGTAACACTGAGACAGAAATCATCCCCGATTAAGAACTCGCAATCTGATTGGCCGTCGTAACACTGCGACAGAAATCATGTGTAAGTCATTGCGCATACTTAGATCACGTGATTCAGTTAAATTGGGCGCTTCCAAATTGGTTATAGCAGGGGGAAGATGACAGTTTATGTAAGTAAATTTTGCATGATTAGTAACAATGTTCTTTAAATATTATTAGTTTTTTTACAAAATGATATGGACCATTGCATCGTCGTATTGATTATTATAGCAACCATAGAATGTTAAGTAGAAGACGTATGCACATTAAACCTTGACAGTGTAAGGGAATAAGATGGGGGCACATACCTACCAACTTGATACAAGATAGGTTCATTATTCTCATAATTACATATATTTGTGCAAAACATTTTGAACAACCCTTGTAATAAATTCATAAATTAATAAATGTTTATAGATCGTGAATGTACCTTGGTTAACAGACACCGATGTAGTTGAATGGGTCAATGTTGTGTTCTCTTCATGCTGAACCGTGGTTACAACTGATGGTACATTTGTTGCCGTTGTTGACTCTACAATTATTTAAAATCGTAATGTCTTAAATATATAATGAAATGTAAAATCAATTTGCAATTGTTTTAATGTACTTAATTCATAAATTAATAAATGTTTATTAAATCGTAAATGTACCTTGGTTTACAGAGAGTGATGTAGTCGAATGGGTCAATGATGTGTTCTCATCTTCATGATGAACCGTGGTTACAACTGATGGTGAATTTGTTGCCGTTGTTGACTCTACAATTATTTAAAATCGTAATGTCTTAAATATATAATGAAATGTAAAATCAATTTGCAATTGTTTTAATGTACTTAATTCATAAATTAATAAATGTTTATTAAATCGTAAATGTACCTTGGTTAACAGACACTGATGTCGTCGAATGGGTCAATGTTGTGTTCTCATCTTCATGCTGAACCGTGGTTACAACTGATGGTACATTTGTTGCCGTTGTTGACTCTACAATTATTTGAAATCGTCCATGTCTTAAATATATGATGAAATTTAAACTCAATTTGTTTAAATGTACTTAATTCATGAATTAATAAATGTTTATAAAATCGTAAATGTACCTTGGTTTACAGACAGTGATGAAGTCGAATGGGTCAATGTTGTGTTCTCCTCTTCATGATGAACCGTGGTTACAACTGATGGTACATTTGTTGCCGTTGTTGACTCTACAATTATTTGAAATCGTCCATGTCTTAAATATATGATGAAATGTAAACTCAATTTGCAACTATTAAAATGTACTTAATTCATAAATTAATAAATGTTTATAAAATCGTAAATGTACCTTGGTTTACAGACAGTGATGTAGTCGAATAGGTCAATGTTGTGTTCTCCTCTTCATGATGAACCGTGGTTACAACTGATGGTACATTTGTTGCCGTTGTTGAATCTACAATAATTTGAAATCGACCATGTCTTAAATTATATTATGTTAACTCCTTTTGCTTAGATGTACATAATTCTTAAATCAATAAAAGTTGATGAAATCTTGAATATACCTTGGTAAACAGACGGTGATGTGGCCGATTGGGTTGAGGTTGTGTTCCCTTCTTCGAAATTCACCGACGTGATAGCTGATGAGGCATCTGTTACCGTTGTTGACTCTACAATAATTTGAAAGCAATCATGTCTTTTTATTTGATGTAAACCAAATTTGTTTCAGTGTATACAATGCAGAAATTAATAAATGTTTATGAAACCACACATTCACCTTGCTTAACAGACGTTGATGTTGTCGGATGGGCCAGTGTTGTGTTTCCTTCTTCATGATAAGCCGTGGTATAAACTGATGATGCATCTGTTGCCGTTGTTTTTATTGTCTCTAAAATAATCAACGAGCCCATTATACACTCAACCTAACTCAGGTTTTATATATGGAAGGGGATAAAACAATCTGAGACAGTCTCTTCAATAATTGTCAATTAAACGTTAATGTACATTGAAATTGTTAAGATTGGTTATTTGGACGGAGAAATACGGGAATAATTGGCATCTATTTATACTGCCATCTTTTTAATCGACAACGACACACTCAGGAAAACAAGTTTTTATTTTATATTTGAATAAGGGCAGCTGAAAAATCCTTTAAAAAAAATGTACCTGTCGAATGAATCAATGTGGTGTCTCTGTGCCGCATTGCTGGGCTCATTGATGTTGAATCCGTCCCCATCGTTGTTGACTCTACAATTTCATCATATATCGTTAATTGGCCAGCATATTATGACCGAGGGTGTTGTCGATCTTTGAAACGTTAACACAATCGGCTTTGGAGGAGACCGATTCATTTAGTATTAATAGTTCTGTTAGACTAAAATTATATTTTGTGTAGTCTATTCACTAAAGTATCTGTATGGGTTTATGTTATGGTACACATACAAATGTTATACTACTAAACTAACTTGCTGAAAATAGTGATGTATTCTAAATAGAACATTAATTCATATAGAACAATACTGAAAATTAGTTCATTATTTGTTGCATCAAACAACATAGGTATATGTTTAGTTCTACTTACTGCATCCGTTGGGTTTAAACGTAGAGCTATGATTCTAGATACATGAAAACATGCAACACAACATCTAAAATACAGGATAATCATGATTCCTTTGACAATGAAATAGACAACTGAGAGACGAAAACAACATACAATAAAGATACAATCCAAATACGCCTTAAATACTCTTTCATCTGCAGATGTTATGATTAAAAGCATAACTAAAATACATAAATTAAACAACGTTTATGTAATACAGATTGTGCTATGAAAGAATCATTAGTACAGTTATGTTGGGTAGAGATTACTTCGCATCATATCATGCATCGCTCAAATATAAAAGAGCATCGATGCATGAATTCAACGCAGTAAGACTTCCTCGTCCCGGATGTGTTATATACTACATTTAAAAAAACTCATAAAACTAATGCCCAGAATACAACATATTTTGTTGGCGATATTCCTAAATATCAAAAATGCGATAATGTGTCATCAAATAAACAAAATCAGGTCATGTATACTAAGGGGAGGCATCAAAAGTTCAATGTCTGATAGGAAACTAAATAAATCTAGTTTTGAGTTGGACCCCCCCCTCCCCCTCAAAACTAAATACAATGAAAGTTGATCGCATACTTTTCACATGTTTTAGCGACTCAATTTGGACTTTCATGGGGCCAGTACTATAACTTATTCATGATTCTTAAAACATGTGCCAACAACAATAGGCATAATATTCCATGTTGTATGCATCTTGGTGAAGAAGGCAGCTGGTAAAGTCTTTATTTTTAAACAATTCCAAGGCATTTCGAGTCGAAATTGCGAAAAATTTAAATGTTGAAATTTGTCGGATAGCAAACTGAAATAGCTTTGACCCCCTCCCCCCCAAACTAGATTTATTTAGTTTTCTATCAGACATTGATCTTTTGATGCCTCCCCTAAGAAACATTAAATGCGATGATAGAAACGGGTTAACATAGTATCTAGACAGTATAGAACTAATAACGAATCACTGACCTTATGGCAAGTGTGTGTGGTCCATACTGAGTCCATATGAGACAGGCTTTGTTGTTCTCTAGGCAGATGAAACTTATAAATATAATGAATAACTATCTGTAAGAGATAAAGACGCACGAAGACGTATTTACAAAAATGTAAACGAGACAAGAGACATACGATAAAAGAGTGGACACAATGTGGAAGGCAAACGAGACAATCACCAATACCAACAAACATATTAACGAACAGATAGAAACGACAATAGGACTACATGCGGACATGTACAAAAAGCACACTTATCAACACAATAAATGGAAAACACACATAGCCTCTCCTATTGACATTACATATCTATACTTAAAGCACCCATGACCAGTTTTGCTACAACACGTCATCTCGATAAAGCCAGTGTTAAACATGCTGTAAGTGGATGCTAGAACTATATTGCATTTTCAAATGTTAAACAACGTTAAAAAGGAGAAATCTCAAAAACAAAGTGATATAGCTAAAGAGTAAGAGTTGTCAATGTTTCAAAGATGTTTGACAACGTATTTATTCACTTTACACTGATATATTACAACTTTATCCATTGCCAAATTGAATATGATTACTGTAACAGGCTCAAACCTAATTCTGCATATGTTGATGGTTGGATGGTAATGACTGTTGTCATCTCTGATGTCACCTCGGGAATGACAGTTGTTTCCGGGAATTCTAAAATTCATAATATAATATTATGTAATAGATACGGAATACTTGTGCTTGTGAATGTGAAAAATGTTATCGTTTATGAACAAACTTTGCAAAAGATATATGGCGATCAGTCGTTCCTAAATAAAATTAGTACCTTGGGTACTGGGCTCACATGGTGACAGAAAAAAGGATATAATTTTTTGCTGATTTTTTTGTAACATGATTATTTCAAGCCACTTGCCCCTATTTTGGACTGACTGAGAGACAGATGGACAAATCGATGTTAAGTAAAATGGCTGAGAAAAAACGGATATAATTTTTTGCAAATTATTTGTAACAAAATTATTTCATACAACTACTCTTTACAGTGACATGAATTTCGCGAGACAAAAATGGCGACCATTTTGAAATCAGGTAAGCTTTTGAACCAGGAGTCATAGGGGAGTTTTTTGTATTGATGTTGAACAAAATAACTTGAAACTGGAATCCTATCTACAGAGGTTTTAAGCAAATTGTCCAAAAGAGGATTTCGAGAGACAGATGGACAAATCAATGTTAACTAAAATAGCTGAAAATAAAAAAACGGATATAATATTTTGCCGATTTTTTGTAACAAAATTATTTCATACAACTACTCTTTTCGCGAAACAAGAATGGCGACCATTTTGAAAATAGACGAGCTTTTGAACCAAGAGTCATAGGAGAGGTTTTTGTATTGATGTTGAACAAAATTAACTTAAAACTGGAATCCTATCGACAGAGGGTTGAAGGTAAATGGTCCAAAAGTGGATTTTGCGAGACAAATGGACAAATAAATGTTAACTAAAATGGCTGAAAATAAAAAAATGGATATAATTTTTCGCAAAAAAATTATTTCATACATCTACTCTTTACATTGACATGGATTTTTACAATGTAGGCCACTTGAAATTATTTGTAAAGCTAGGAAATGGGTCAAAAGTGAATTTCGCATACAAAAATGGCGGCCATTTTGATAATAGGCGAGCTTTTGAACCAGGAGTCATAGGGGCGTTTTCTGTATTGATGTTGAACAGAAATAACTTAAAACAGGAATCTTATCGACAGAGGTTTTAGAACGTGCCACTGTTATTGACGGAAAGTGGATTTCGCGAGTCAGATAGACAAATCAATGTTAACTAAAATGGCTGAAAATAAAAAAATGGATATAATTTTTCGCTGATTTTTTGTAACAAAATTATTTCATATATCTACCCTTTACATTGACATAGATTTTTACTATGAAGGACACCTGAAATTATTTGCAAAGCTAGGAAATGGGTCTAAAGTGAATTTCGCGAGACAAAAGTGACGGCCATTTTGAAAATAGGCGAGCTTTTGAACCAGGAGTCATAGGGGAGTTTTCTGCATTGATGTTGAACAGAAATAACTTAAAACAGGAATCCTATCGACAGAGGTTTTAAAACGTGCCACTATTGTTGACAGACAGACGGACGGACGGACGGACGGACGGACGGACGGACGGACAGACGGACAGACGGACGGACAGACAGACAGACAGACAGACAGACAGACAGACAGACGGACAAGTGAGTGATTGCAAAAGCTCACCATGTGAGCTAATAATACTGAATGAAATAGAGGTAATAGCAGTGTGTAAATTTTTTTCAAAATGCCTTAGTTCAGCTTAAATGTCCCGTTTAAGAACCCCTATTCTTACTATTGAAAATGGGTTCTACCAATTCTATTCCACATGACTCTACTTGTTGAGATCCAATCAACTTGAGTTCGATTCTCAACAAGTACATACATGTGGAACAATATTGCTAGAATTTATTCTCAAACAGTGGCGTAGCGTGCTAAATAGTGCTAAATATATATATAAAAAAAACCGTTTCTCTCAATTTGAGAGTACGTCATGTGTATATGAGGCTACGCCATTGTCAATAGTAAGAGTAGGTTTATAGACTTAATTAAACAGTATTAGGCTTGCTTTTCCTTTTTAGAACAATTTCCGGCTCAATATACCTCCATTGTGATAGACAAACTGAATCAGCTCAACGGGAACTGTGGTATTCGTAGCAGTATCGAGACAGTTCCATTTTCTTGATATGAGTGTTGGATCATCCACCGGATCAACCACTTTACAGATAACGCCATCCTCCTCGTCTTCTAGTGTAGTGTCAATTACCCATTCTGATGTAGCGGACAAGAAATATAGATACAACGATTCTTGGTTAGTATTTGGTTGTGGCCCTCCAGGAATTGCCCCTGTCCATTGATACACAGGTCTATGGTTGAGTCGTTTCGTATCAGTAGTTGTGTAAAGACCGCGCAGGTACGTAAATCCCTCATCAGATATGTCATCAAGGAGCATCATTGTACACAGATATTCGTCTATGTCTAAAAAATAAACATTTAACGAGACCATTAAACTAGGTTTAACATATATCACCTATTATAATATATGGAACAGATCTACTTGTTCCGTTCTAAAAGATCGACATGTCTTAGTCTAGTCTAAACACTTACAGTTAACGCATGTCATTTTAGAGATGACATCTTGAGTTCCATCATTCCAGAGAACACTTTGTATCAAATCTGGAGATATAGCTGCATCAATGACTGATAGCTCCCCCGTGCTTCCTGCGAGGTTGTCTACCATTGCAATTTCCCAGGTATCGTTCGCACCGTGTTTCAGAGCTCTCATGTCAGACTCGTGAATATAAACTGGGCTCTCGTCCGTTTCATTGTTGAGGAAATAGTAACCATACCAACGGATAGCGTTCGGAGTATAATCGACAGTCCCATACTTGCCAGATAAGTATAGCTCACGACAATCTAGAATCATAACGAAATAATCAGGTTTTTGCCATTCAGCCATTTACTTTAAAGGTATAAACAATGCAAAAAACACTCGAGGTAATTACAGCCTACTTACATTCTGTAGTTTTCACAACTAGCTTTGGTTGTGTAGCATTGACCACGGAGAGTTCTGCAAATGCATACGTTTGACAATTATCGATATGATGGCTTCATTGCAATACTATAATAAAATACTATTATAAATATCACTGAATATGGTAAATTAAAGGTCGCCTTATCAGCTTAAATATACTAACATTTTTATTTATGTATAGCTATTAGACCGATTGATTTCAGATTATAAAGTGCTTACCATCTACACAAACTATTTCCATAGTCGGCTGATCTGCCCAATCAAACCGAATGTTAAGTGGGTCATAGATAAATTCGTATACATAATTTGCCAAACCACCATGAAACAACAGTTGCCACGTAGCAGCTGGAGGAGAGTTCCAGTAGCTCCAACGAAATACCAGTAACCGTTGATTACCCGAAGATTCATGGTGCTCATAGTAGGGACGATAATTGTACTCTGAATCTTTCTTTGTGTAAAGACCGTTGAAGATTACCAATTGTGAATCAGTACTGATTCCACTGATACTTAACTCATTACAGGCTCTTGAAACTAAGAAAAGAACAAAATAACAAAATTAATAGTACTATCATAAACGACAATGTGCAATTTGCATTTGATAGTTAGAAGTTTAATGTGGTAAGATCTCTACTAAATTATTATTAATCTGATATTTCCCAATATGAACGATTATAAGTATATGTCATAATCTGATGGTCAAGATTAAAAGGTGGATTGGATCGGATAGATTCGATCCATGTAAAATGTGGATTGGATTGTGATTCTGCAAAATATGGAATCATATAATACTGAACAGATTAGGTATTCAAGTAAATTCATTTGTGTATTTGAATACTAATAGATATCTGTCACTAAATTCCTTCCCTTCAAAATAAATCTATTCAAAACACGTCAAGTGTCACAAGTATTTCCTCATCGAAACTTTAATTTTTTGAAGAAATGTGTCTGTTTTCTACCACGTGTGCTGTTTTATGCACATACTTGATGATGAGTTAAAAAACGCAAATAAATTGATCTATACAATAGGACTATATTGTACCAAGCGTTGAAATCAATTGCTAGCAAGGTAAATCAAAAGCACACGATGGCACCAGAGGTGTGGCCTTGATATATGTATTATGCATGATGACAACATAACAATATATTAATGCCAACCAATTTTCCCTTTGGTACTTTTAACCTGCTATTCACTGCCCCACTGAACCATATGTAAGGTATAATAAACATAGGTCTGTATATAAAGGCTACCATTCAAATTGACTGTGCTGTGGATGTTCCCAAAACATTTCTGCTATGTTCCGTTTGGATCGAAAACAGATGATCTGACTCTTCGTTTGCCTAATAATTGCCTAAAATCACTCTTGGAATAAATAAGATTGTACATCAGAAAGTGTGTAACATGTCACCCGTCTAGCCCATCCAAGCGACAAAATAATACTACATCAATTATTTGACATTGTGGACGGGAGGAGAGCACCAATCTTCTTAAAGCGAGGTCTAAAAAAAATCCAATTCACCTTTTACATGAATCCAATTCACTCGATCCAATCTACCTTTTAATATTTTCTTATCTGATGACTTTCCATTAGCTCTATGAATTAAATCAGTATAGACCAAACAGGAAATGTCGACCAATGGGAGAAAAAGAATATGTTATGATTTACTCGAGACATTAATTTGGTCGAAATTATGAATACCGCACAATACCACACACTATTGACCAAGTGAACAATTTGGATATAATACCAACCTCTCGTTGGGTAATTGATTTTTAAGTATTGCTAAATAAAAATACTTTAAAAGAATTGACAATATTAAAAATGTCGTTTTATGGTTTTAGAGTACATTATTATTAGAAGAAGATAAGTCATGGTTGTAAAACATATGGCAGGATTTTATGATGTATATGTATAAACTCTCTACCAGAAAAACATGAGAATGCTGCTCCAGGCCATTCGCTATGACTTCCTGTCAGATTGATACTTATCGGAGCTTTTATATCTTCTGGATATATGCTTTGATCTGTGATCAATCCAAGCGTATTATTTGGCGGACTGTCAACAGGAACATTTACAGGGTTGTCAAAACGTATCACCCATTTTACAGGGTGAACTCTGTATAGATATAGACTAGTAAATAATTCATGGTGGTATACGGGTCGATTGTTATATGTCTGTGTTTCGTTTAATATCCAAAAACCAAATATGTTTGCCCCAGATGTTAGTACGCCTGCTGGCATGTGAGTCGTTGAATCCAAATAGAGGGTCTTGCATGGATCTCGTTCTGCAACATCAGCAAACAAAACATACCTTTATTGATTTTAAACATTTCAAAACTATTTTATCATATTATCTGAAATCTAAAATGTTGTTGCTAAAGAAATATTTGGTTTGCCCCAGTAGTAGTGCAAATAAAAAAATGTCAAAACCTTTAAAGCAGAGAAATTTCAATGTAGGCATCTCGATCCAAGTAGAATTATTCAACTCCTCTCGCAAACTGCCTGGATTAATCAACTCTGGGTAGAATGCACCATCTCTTATCCGAATGTAGGGTTCTGTGTCAACTACTGATTCACTTAGGAACCAGTAACTTGACAATGATGTTGTTACGTGGTACAGCTTTACGGTACGCTGAACGGCACCGGGTTCATCCAATGTATACACTGGACGACCATCTGATGTTTCATTTGTGAGAGTGTAGATACCGAACCACTCCGTCTGTGACGGCAGCTGATCTGGATCTATATCCGCTGTCAAGTGAAGCTTGTCACATGAAGGTGTAGCTATAAATGAGATAAAAGGTATATTCACATAAAAATGCTTTAGTCGTCGTTCTACAATCATTCTTAAAATAAATAACGGAATATTTATTAAGAGATTGGTTTTACAGTGATTCAGAGAAAAGTCTCACATGGTTTGCATTGGAAGGATGCAACTTCTTCGTCAGAGTTAATAAAACCATCGTCAAATCTCCACCCCATGATAGTAGTTACATCTATTTGAACTGAGGCTGATCTTGCAAGTATGTTGACAATGACAGCCCCATAGGGAGCATCAGCCAAGATCCAGTATTCAATGGGAACAAAATAAACGTAGTAGTCCTTAGTTTTATGCTTGTAGGAAGCGCGATTGTTGATTGTGCCAGTTGCTTCATACAGACCAGCATACATATTTTCAATGATCGGCGTCCGTACACCAGCCAGGCTAATACTACTACATGTCGTTGTTGCTTCAAAAATAGAATAAGTTGGTCAAAATTATAAAGGTTTTCAAAATTCAAACATCATCAGAATTTCATAGTTAATGGTGAATTTCATAGTTAAACCTACACAATCTCAAATTGTAGTGTAAGGTATGACGCGTGGTAACGGTAACCCTACTATCACACCAAACTAGTTCTCACTACGTTCTCGAAAACGGGCTTAAACTGTGCACGAACGGATTTGACGTACTAAGAACCCACTAAGAACCGTTTGGGAGCTGTTTACAAACTTCATGAAACTACTAGAACGAGTAGGTCCTCCAGCACTTAGAGCATGCTCAAAATTTTCTGGTGATCGTCAAAACGTTGCCGAATCGGTTTTAAACTGTGTGCGAACTGAATGAACGTAGCTACAACGTCCTACGGTCTGTTTACGAACTTCATGGAGTTTCCCGGACGGGGTAGGTGATTTAGAATTTTGAATCGATTCAAAATTCGATGGCGACCATACCGTTCTGTAATCAGGTCATGATGACCTTCTAGACTAAGGGTCGGTATATACTACGTTGCACACCGACGTGGTGCGACCTGAACGAACTGCGAATGAGATGGACGTATTGAAGACTGTTTATGAACGAAGTAGCTAATAATTTTAGACATATATCCCGACCACAGCCAGATTGAGCCTGTTTTACGACACTTTCGTAGGACTGGCAAAAACGGGTAAAAACTAGTTTGGTGTGATAGGGGGGTTAGGTACAATTAGGAATTGGAATTGCGTACACCGTTCTCACCCGCGCGTTATACCGTATACTACATTTTGGAGTTTGTGTAGGTTTAACTATGAAATTCACCGTGAAGTTCACTGTCTAGGATATTAATAAATCATTGCCACATATAAAAATATTTAGAAATTAGAACAGGTCTTTCTGAAACGACGGGAACATCAGATTGTTTAAAGTGCATCACCCCCGTGTTGTACTGTACCCCGTGCGTTCAAATGTCGCGCTTAATTTGGTACGTATTATTCGCGCACATGATTTCTAGAATATTAGACAGTGAGATTGGCCAACCAGTTAGCATGTCCTCATTTTGCAAGGCAAATGAAGTCAAAGTAAAATGTCTGTAATAAACTGTCATCGTGTCCGGTTGGTCCCCAGTGAACATAGATTTTTACTTTATGATATTTCTAAACTGCACAGCAACAGTAGATTGAACAAATAAAGTGACATATATTTTTAAGCAATCTATTACCTTGCAGGCATTGCACATTGATATCGGTTGTACTATTCCATGTTTCAGTAATGGTATATGGCGTACCAGCGAAAGAAGCAACTCTATAGATACCAGGTACATCATTGATATCCTCCCCTATGTACCAGTATTCAGATGTGTGGTAGATATATCCTTTGTCATGTTCATGCGTGTAAACAGGCCTACCATTGGAAAACTTATTTGATAAGAAATAAAGGCCCAGCAAACTTGGATCGTTCGGTCCTGACACAAAAACACTATCGCATGGTATCGTATCTGAAAGTTTAGAAATCATATTAGTAATGATAACTATTAATCTAATCTTAACACTCAAAACATGTCAGAATTTCAAAAATAGTCTTACCAAATAAATAAGGCTGTATGTCAACATCGACAAGAGCGACATCTGCAGTTGACCATGATGTCGTTATGCCAACAGGAATGTTTTCACTTGTTTCCGTCTTTACAAGATACACATCGGGATCAGGGGGAAAGGTATTACTAATGTACCAAATATCCTGTCCATCAATGCACATGGCGAACAGGTATAGACCTCTATTGCTGGTGTAAACTGGCTTCCGATTGCTCAAAAATCCCTCTTTTATTGTATAAATGTCTGAGCCAATAGTAGATGAGTTTGTTGATACCCATATATTGTCAGCATAATCTATAATATGATAAAACCAACTTTCAGTAACATTTGCAGAGAATGAATATAAGATCTTATGGATAATATACAAATGTTATTTCAGAAATATTGGGTCAACTTCTTGGGGTCACTCTGCCTCGCATTGAAATTCCCTTAGCATGTGAAAAAAGTCTTAACTGAAACACATGTGCCTCATTTTACATAAACTAGTTTAATACCTGTAACTTGAAATTCAATTTTGCATAGCTCTGTCTCTTGAAGAAGACCATGGGTAACGCTTACGGAACACGTAGCTACAGACGCCCCTAGGTCATCTGCTGTATACGTATATATTGCTGTTGATTGGTTTGTTTCAATGCTAATTTTCGATGTAACAGGATTGCCATTATCAATCCATTTTACTGTTGGGAAGTAAGATTCATCTCTAGCTCCCCAAAAGTTTGTGCCACATTTTAAATCTAAAGTTTGACCTTTTAGAATTCGTTGTGGGGTTTCTGGACATTTCACCTTTCCTAAATATACAAAAAACGTAGGGTATGAAAATAGAATCAGATAGAACCGACTCTGTATTATGAGGAATGCTACATTCCAATGAGCTGTCAATTTCCAGCTCTCTTTAAATTGTCTAAAATGGGTCTCCCAAAATACAAAGAAGGGAAATTGGTGTTATTGATTAAATAAATGTTGAGATTGAGGATGAACCTCATCTCAACATTTGGCTGCTGCCAATGACTCTGTGTAATATGTATTGTAACACATATTTGATACTCAAAGAACATTTTTAATATGTAATGAATGACCAAGGATATGGTTTAAAACACGTTTAAATGGATCATTTTTGTAAGTGTAGTTGAATTCATGCATTTTCACGGGTTCTTTACTAGGGTTCATCGCTTTGACTATATTAACGTAATGGTCATCAAAATATTATTCTTTTTTTTTATCCGACACTTCCAGTGTAGATCCACATGTTCACGGTAGTGTATCAATGTTTCATAGTGATGTTCTTCTCTGAATATTTATGACATATTTCCTGGTAAATATAGACGTAAAATTAAACGTATATGGAAACAGATATTGGGATAAGTTGGAGCCTTGTACGCTCACGTACTGTTACTGTTATTAACTAATTCTGAAATATCTGACTCTTGCCAGTTGGGTATCAGGGAGAACAGACATAAAATGAGAGAGTAATCTAATATTTAGGCAATACCAATTCATTTTTACAAGATGGATAGTAAGAGTAGAATCGATAGCAGGTCCCGGCAAAATCAATGAACTTACTCAGGATAATGAGGAATGCATCATGGATGGTCTCATTAGTATCTCCATTTATACACCAGTAGCGTCCAGCATCCCCTTTGTTGACATCTTTAACTTGAAGACTAAATTTTCCATTCACTTCATATTTAAACTTGCCATATGGCCCTGCACTCGCAGTAATATTAGCATTCAGTGTTAATTGTGTTACCCCAAATGTAAGAAGATCTTTAAACCACCTAACATCTTGGACTTTATTTGGATCAACTGGACACTCCAGAATCACAGTCTCTAGTTCTCCGCCAACAACACTCACTCTATCGTGTGCCTCTAAATAAATTGATAACAAAGTACATGTATGTATTTATAATAATTAATGAAACATTTCCAATTAGTACGAATGGCGACACCCCCCCCCTCCATAAGTTTCGAAACTGGAAGTAACATAGCGTTAAATGTAATTTACAACGACAACAAGACGAGGTGTCCGTCTGTCTGTCAACAATAGTGGCTCGTTTTTTCCTGTTATAAGTTGCATTATCAAGATAAAATCCTATGACCACTAATTCAACTATTTTCAAAATGACAGCCATTTTTCTCCAGGAAAAATCCTTTATGGAGCTATTACTTGTATAGTGTCGCTCCAATTTGCAATAGGATTTAAGGTTATGTTCCTTGTTTTACCAATGAGTCTCGACAAAATTCTCTAAAAATGTAATGGTCGCCAATGTCAATTTTGGAGGTATAACAATGGAATTTCTGTTTGGATTCAATCACCAAAAAATGTTTTCTTAATGTAGAATCCAAAAACAACAAACAAATTATGTTTTGATAAATAGCGGACATCTTGAAAATTTCTTCTTGAACAGAGCTCATTGTCCCTAATTATCAGCATATGAAATTTCAACCGAATCCGTCCACTAGAAGTTATAAGAGATTATATTTTTTTACAAAAATAGCGGCCATTTTGAAATCCAGCTGCCATCTTGAGAATTTATTTTTGAGCAGAGCTCCTTTGCCCAGCATTAACATATAAAATATGAGCCAAATCCATCAAAATATGACATTTTTACGAAAAATGATGGCCATTTTGTACTTTGGTGGACATCTTGAAAATATCTTCGAAAATGGCGGCCAATTTAAATTGAACGGCCACATTAAAAACTCATTTTCGAGCAGAGGTCCAACGCCAATAAAGCATTTAAGCCTATAAAATATAAATCCGCCAATCGACATTTGAGTTATTGCCGAGACAAACGAACGGACGAACGAACGAACGATCGGATTTTCTATATTCCCTCGAACTTAGTTTGGTGGGATAATTATGTATTATTTTCTCACCGACGTGACAAAAAATCAAACCCAAACAATAACGAGAAATAAAGACAAATGGCTGAATGAACAGAATTTGAATGAAAATGTTTTGTAAAATGTACTTGCACTCCAAAGAAAAAAATTCATGAGTAATATATTGATATAATGGCACATTGGCCAAGATTTTATTTCGCTTTTTACAAAAATAATCCACGATTTTACTGGAAACTTATGAACTACCAGCAAAATTTCCTCTCTTCCTGGTGCATGCCCCGAGTACCCAAATAAATAGTTTGCTTTAAGGTTATTCGTTTTGAGAAGTAGCACGGGGCATAATAAGAAAAACAAGGCATTAGCATGCAAAATGTCAGCGCCTGTGATTTGTTACAAACGTCCTAATTTTAATGACTTCTCAGTTACTCAAGTCTCTCAGGGAAAACGTATCACCCTCGATGATATTTTTGTAACCGTAAGGGAAGTGCGATAAGTTGTAGAGATCAGCTTTGAATTGAGAGTTAGATATATTAAGATTCACCTATTAATTTGAGGGGAGTCAAACGGTATCACATTTATTGAAAATTAATGCCTTGCATTGTTTCCCTTGGATAAACAAGCTGAATGTTAAAACATGAAGTCTATTTGCAACGTTTAAATCACACTTGGGTTTATTCCCCATTTAGTTATACGATCATGATATGCGAATTCCACTGGTGATCCGCTCGATTACGCTGGTTACCAAAACGGTTCGATCGTTTCGGTAACAAAATGTCGGAACGTCGAAGGTACGATTTTTGTTTTTTGCTTATTTCGCTCGTTGTAGGCAGAATCCCCACGACATTTTTTCTCACAAACGTGTAGCAGTATCATATCTTTTATAAAAGGTACATGTTTGCGAAAAAATAGCTCAGAAGATAACAGAATCGTCGATTTAATTCCTCACTTAAGTTACATAAACGGTTAAAAGTGCAGATCTTAACTTCTTTTTAAGTGAGATTAAATCGACGATTCCGTTGTTTTCTGAACTATCTGTTCGAGTGGATCACCAGTGAATACTAAAGTTCTAAATTCGGAATTGTATTAATTGCCGTTACATCTCAAACGATAAAGTTTCGCTTGTACATGCACATCAATAGAACCGACTCCACACATTCATTCGCTCACTAACAGGGTTTCGAAAGGATTTGTAGAGGGTAGGGTACCTCGAAGGAAATCAGGAATGTCAATCATTTTGGCATCAGAATCAGATCGCCACTACTGGACGCTTTTCATAAATATATCAAAAACGTTTTGTTTACTTTGATGGCTATTTTCGAGCCATGCGCTACTGGGCCCTCGTGGTCCAACTTTTAGATCAACTTATTTAGAACCAAAATAATCTCATTACTCACCAGGTGTATGCCTTTTTTCTCTGATAGGATGTATAAAGTAACTATCCCGCCCGGATCCATGGAGAGACTTTGGCTCTTGTCCACGAGTGGATTTGGTGGCATAAACTGATGGAATGTAGTTCCCAAGTGTATTTGAGATTTTAAGAGTTTGTGCTTGTATATTGTGTAAGATATCCAAATCGTTCTGTTTTAATCTATCTTGATTATCATCCGTGTATCTGCTAAAGTTGGGAAATGATGTAAGATTAAACGTGTGAGAAATTGAAAGTTGTTGATTAATGTTAAACTTAATTGATTTGAAATCAATATCTGGATTTCCATGTGTTCCGACCAACATCAGCAAACAAGTTCGGACAATCATTGTCGCCATTGTTGATATTGATGCGTAGATGACCCGTTTAGTATCATCATATGTTGTCGATGTTCGTGTATTATCCACACCCTGTATTTGTCATATTCATACGAAACTGTTAACAGTAAATCGTAAACGTGGTACTATCAAAATTGGTATCTCCATCACGTATAATTCTTTTAACGGTGAACAATTAATAACTAGGAGTCACCTAGATATGCTTGGCGGGGTGTAAAAAACGCACTGAGCTACTTTTTGATAAAGTAAAGGAAAGTGGAGTGTATTCCTATAAGTAAACAGGGCCATTCTCAATCCGATAGAGATAATCATATTCAAAAAGAGTGGTTTACAACGGTGAAAAATGCTTACAATGAACGGATATTTATCAACATTGTTTGGCGATTTGTATCTAAATTGTATTTTTACAGGCGTATCGTATTGTGGTTTACCTATGACTACCGATTATGTTCCTATTTTCGTGCAGAAAAATTCCAATAAATTGCGTATTTTATCTTCGCGTGTATTGTTAAACGTGTTGACCGAAATAGCTTAAAAATGTGTAAGTTAAAAGACTGACCGCAAACGTCTACCCAAGCAACAAAATCCAAGCCTTTCCTTAATTTTGCACCAATATCCTATTAGAACTGGTAAAAATAAACCTGAAACTTACAGTGTAAACGCTCGAGCATTTTGTTGAATGTTTTTGATGAACAAAGTTTTCTAAGTCACAAACGAGACATTTTTCATTCTAATAATCATCGCGACTGTATTGTTAAAACAAGTTCTAGATTTAAGATGGACACCATATACCACATAGGGGGTTATTACGCATTTAACTTGGTTAAGAATAGAAAACTGCAACTATTCGCCGGAGTAGAAAATCCCTACGAAAAAACAAATTTTATTTGATTTCTAGTCATTGTGGACACAACAGTAGCATTGGCATATAAAATCCTGGGAAATGGTGGCCAGTTACATTCAGCGTTGAACATAGTCTATGCCAATAATATTCCCACCCCATAGCCAACCTCAAGTGCGTCAACCCATTGACCTTAATTATATATTCACAATAATATTGTATTTGTTATTTTCTCATGTACCCTTCTATAATGTCCTCGGGCAACTGAAGGGATCTACATTATTCTTTATTGTAAATAAATAAATATATCTTAAAAACAAATCATGGTCATATATACATGTATATACCAGGTATATTTGGAACTCCTTCTTGAGCAGAGGTCTTTTGCCCCCAAGTTAGTATTGACCTATAGTGTATACAATTCGAAGCAAATCCCATTACCAGTATTTTGGCATCAAAATCATATTTTAATGTAAAATGGCCGCTATTTTGAAATTAAGCGGCCATCTTGAAAATTTCTCCTTGAGCAGAGGCTCTATGTCTAATCAAAATTTGAACCAAATCCGCCAACTGGTCTTTGAGTTATCAAAGATCATATTTTTACGAAAAATGGTGGCCATTTTGAATTGAGCAGCCAGATTGATAATTCCTCCACTTGAGCAGAAGTCCTGAACCCAAAAGGCCTAAGCTTATATTTGAACGAAATCAATCGGTGGTACTTTTGGCAATTGGCCCGAACAAACGAACGGATGTCTTGTAATATATAAATAGTAAATACACTGTCCCACATGTTTTGTTAAAGAGCAACAGAAGCATACAATATTTACACATAGATAAATACAGACTAACATTTGAATATCTACACCATGTAGGTAGATTTAATTTGATTCTTTGGACAAATAGTTGATTCTCTACGTCCTCATTGAACTTCGTTCGGTGGAGTAATACAAAAAAGTATATGTAACTGTTCTAACAGGAGTGATGTCTAGTATAGATATCGCATTCGCATTTGTGCAAAACAGCTTTATACATAGCAAGCAATTGATTGTCAAAAGCCCCCTCAAAGCAGCTAATTGCAAAACTACCTACATTTTGAAAATTGAACATGATTTGGTGCATTCTGAGCAATTTCAGAGCATATATGATAAGGATATTTTATAGTTTGAAGCACTAAAATATCTTATTTCACAGAATAAGTTGGGAATTCAAAACTTGAAAATTTTTCAAGACATTGCATTTGAGTTATGACTTGGTAACTGAACGAGAGCGTTCCCTTTAAGGCAAGAACTTGGTCAACATTTAAGGAATAAATAATGATAGGCCATTCAATATGGTGAAATTCAGCACGAGTTGGACAGAATGTTGTACAAAGCACGAACCGAAGGTGAGTGCATTTGTACTAACATTCTGTCCAACGAGTGCTGAATTTCACCATATTGAATGGCCTATCATTATTTATTCCGATTCAAACATAAAAATTAGTAAAAGCCGTGTCTGTGGAACGGGCATGAAGGAAGAATACGCATGCTGTCAAGATTCTGAAGTCGGCCGGAAAAATTTTAGAATTTGTTTGGGCTGTTCTATTTTACTCCCCGTTTTAGATTTATACGGTGTATGCAAACATGGGGTGTTGATAAAATAAAATAGTTACGGAGGGAGTAAAAAAGAACAGCTATCCCCGGACAGAGCCCCAGATGTGCAGCTGAGATGTGACGTCAGTCAAAACAATGCAAATTGCAGATTGAATAGAGCATGGTCGTGCATCTATGGAGAATTAGAGAACGTTCTATATTGGCTATGCTGCATTCTGATTGGTTGAGAAATTCGAATAGAGCACGGTCATGTTTGAATAAATAATAATACACGGTCTCGGACATGGCTGACTTTATCAATGCCATATCAAACAGTTTAATGGATAGAACAATTATCATACTTCATTGTTACTATCAAATTAACAAAATAATGAACATAGCTACTTTTAATTATAAATAACAGTATACTATTGTTATTGCATAGCTTCAACATAAGTTACAATAATGATCTTTCTTTAGGCATATATTTATCTACATGCATATGTATCTGTGTGTGTAAACCAATTTATTCTTATTTTTGATTAGACAACTTGAAAAGAGTACCATCCTATAGATAATTTAAAACGAATACAATTTAATGTGAAAACACTCTATTTGGGTTTCTTTGACAAAATAAAATATGGTTCACCACATTTGAATGAAGTAAAATAGGCATCAATGTCGTTGAATTCACTTGAAATCTACCCGGATGTATAATGTTATATTATAATACGTACACTTCCTCTTCAACTTAATGGTTTACTCCCATTAATATGATAAGAGGGCATGCATAAAAGGTTATTCATTTGGAGATGAAATATGCATCTGCCACATCTTAGCTACACGCCAACACATATAATTTGATAATATTATAAAAGAAATCATGGATCTACATGTACATTCATAGGGGCTTAAAGACCAGTTTCTGTACTGATAGGGCTGATCAGATTTGAATAAATATAGTTTTCAAATCACCTCAAATCAAGATAAGAGGCTTCTGGTGAAGAAAGTCAATGACAAAATCAAGAGGTCAACTATACATGACCCTTATAAATGTGAAGCATATTTGAAGTTTGATTCTTTGGAGCTTGAAAGCACACGGTCTCAATCCTGAAAGCTGGGAATAACCTCATCACTATACCAAAGCAAGTGACCAAAGAATTCTCTGTTGATTGTGTTTGGAACAATGTGTTTGACACTATGATATGTTCCTGATATCTTAATTAAACCAAACTTGTGCATAATGTACATGCTATATGTGTGCAATGTCCTTAGAACAGCGATAAGTAGGTATGTCTTTTAACATCACATATTCAGTAACTTGTAGGTTACATGTACTTAACTTCCATGTTTCTACATTGCACCTAAATTACATTTACATATAAATGTCATATACAAGGTTAACACCTCTCCTTGGTTTTCCATCTATTGTGAAAAACTGTGCTACAAATGCCCTATCACTTCTTTTTTACAGGGCTACAGGCAGGAATGAATGCCTCTCATTACAGTATATTGATGCATCATCAAGTCGCACTCGTCGATGTCATATCGTATTGCCGTATTAAGAATCAGTGGTAGTGTATAGCTATATCATATAAAACCTGAGACATGTTATCATATTTCGTTGAAGCATCCATCTATTATAGAAGGGATGAATATATCATATTATCAACTCCATTTTTGAGTTATCTATATAAACTAGTATATATCGTTGTATCATTTAGAGTATGGAAGAGCTGCATAATATATAATTTTATCACCATCAGATTTGACTCCTTTCTATAAATAGTACATTTATATCGATGATGTAGTATATAATGTTGTATCATCTTTAGTCTGGAATGGATGTAGAAATACACTGTATCGTTGTATCAGTTCCATATTTGTATATAAATAGTACATTTGCTGTATATACATGTATATATTTGTATCATCTATAGTCTGGAATGGGTGTCATCAGCATATTCACAATGTCTGCATATCTCACTTGTCCCTGTGGATTAACTTTAGCTTCCCTAAACAAGGCATCAACTGGAAGTAAAGCAGTTCTAAGATCACAAACAGATTATCAAAGATAGAGTCCATTATGCATTCATTATGGTAAAGATTAAAAGGTGGATTGGATCGAGTGGATTGGATTCATGTAAAAGGTGGATTGGATTGGCTATCTTCAAAATATGGATTTTCCTTTAAAAAATTCTATTGATCTCCCTTTAGGAAGATTGGTGCTCTCTTCACTTGCACAATGTCAAATAATAGATGTAATATTATTTTGCTTGGGTGGGCTAGAAGGATGACCTGGTACCCGCTTTCTGATACACGATCTTATCCATTCCAAGTGTAATTTGAGACATTCCATAAATCATAAGGCAGACTGGTTTGAAGATCCATATCATCTGTTTTCAATCCAAACTGAACATACCAGAAATGTTTTGTGAACATTCACACATTAATTGAATGACAGGTTTTCTTTTTCTAAAGATCTATGTCTTACAAAAGTTGATTTACAAGGGAAAGCGGTTAAATACTTAAGAGTGTCCATGAACTAATTGGAGTATGTATTTGTCATTGCTTTGTTCTGAATTCTCAAAAGGGACCTGTAATACTGTAGAGGGAAATTGTTTAGAGGGAGATCAACAGAATTTTTTTTATATAAGAAATTCCACATTTTGAAGATTCCCGATCCAATCCACCTTTTACATAAATCCAATCCACGCGATCCAATCCACCTTTTAATCTCTACCTTCATTATTGAGAATAATACTCAACATTGTTGTATGACTCTAACACTAAACATGCCTTGTCATCATACTATAGTTCACTGAGTTGTGGAAATTAATAAAAAAAATATCTCAGAAATTATGATTTTCAAGCTAATGCCTAATGACAAGGCAGTAACTTTTAATACACATATCTAATAAACTGGGGATTTACAGATACCATACTCATTCTTATTAGTTTTCCTCCATACGCTCACTCTTATTAGACAGTCAATTAATCTCCTGGTGGGTGTGTGGGTGTTAGAGATAATATTCCCAGGTCTTTTGATCTTAATAGTATATAGACATGAAAGAGTATGAAGACTTTAAATATAGTTTACTAGCAGATAGCATGTAAAGTTATATACTGGCTTTTTTAATTTCAGATTAATATCTAATGATCTTAATGATATGTAAGAGAGAAGAAATTATTTTGACCTGCTCATCAAGCCATATGTATGTACCTGTACTCAAAAATTGGGTAATGTTGTATCATCCAATTAGAATAGATTTCTTCACGACAAAACATTCCATATGGAAAGGGTGTCCCAAAAGTATGGGACTTCCCCTAGGCAGACATATACCAGTGTCCAATATACCAATAGTATGTGTCATGTATCATTTTAAGGCATATCCAAAGTTCCATTAATTTGCCAAGTATCATGGCTCAACTCTCAAATGTGAAAAAGTTACAGGCATTTCAAAACTTAGTGTTTGGCCAAAATTAATGTGCAATTGTACATCAAATTTATAAATGGTGTGTCTCCCTAGGCCATGTTAACAGCCACCATTTTTTCAGATATGATCTTAAACATGCTTCAAATAGGGGTGACCATTTTGTAATCCTCATAAACCTTTTTAAGGCATTTTAGATGAGTTTTCTTGGAGTATCTGCCTTTATCATTCTCTTTTCCATCCTCAATATCTATTCTATCTTTGACAATAGCACACATATTTTCAGTCACATTCAGGTCAGAGCTGTTTCCAGGATGCTGATCTGAACTTTAATTTTAGCCAAACACTTTAGTTTTGAAATACCCGTATCTTTTTTCTATTTGTGAGTTTAATACTTTCAGGACACTCTGTACATGAACTGCATTAGTTTAAAAATTCCTAATTTAGAAAATCTAGTATATGAATTATGTGCATAGCGAATGCTTAGGGTAATAAATGGAAAAAAGCTTGCTGTGAGACAGGTTGCCTCCTAAAAATATATATTTTACTGAAAATCATGTTGCATAAGTAAAGTATAACATTCTCGTTGACTTCAGCTATTTTTCCTTGCTTAACCTCTTGAATCCCGGGTTCTAAAATCAGTTGAAACCAGAGAATTTTTTAGATGGCAGAGATCATTTCCATACATTTTAAAACATATTTTGTTAAATTGGATGAAAATAGTTCAAATAAGAGTAATTTTAGTGAACAATTTTGTGACAGATTTTCTCGTCACTCTGGATTTCAAGGTCATTCCTGAAGTGACGAAAAATCTCATCATTCCAGGTAATCAAGAGGTTGATACTGCGTCATGTAATTTTGGATCCTGTCCACAATTGATAGACAAACATTTTTTCCATGACCTTTGGCAGACCTATCGTAATGCGTTTCTATCATGAGTTAAAATTATATTACAGTCTAACGAGCATGTTTACCTTCAGATGTTTTGAGCTGCTCTCCAAACATGGACAACATATGCTTCAGCTCTCCCGCAGGGATATAGCCAGTTTTCTTTCTGTCATGGTATTCAAAGGCTGCCATAATTTCCTGTTGACATTTCTCAGACTGGGAGTGTGTGTGGAGAATATCAAGGAATGTTGCAAACTCTATCTTGCCCTCTAGAAACAAAGAAGACAATATGAATATTTTGAAGTAACTGAATCATCATAAAGAGAACACAATAAACATGAACAACACATTATGTATACTATATAGCAGAATACTGTACAGTGTAGTTTACATGGTGAACAGTAAACAAACCTTGCCTTTTAAGTAAACATATAAGCAGGATAAAATGATGTGTAAATATGTATACATGTAGTATGGGATATCATAAACAAGTATGTACAAGAACACACTGTGTAATGGGAGAACACAATTTGCATCAGATAATACAATGAATGCAAGATAACTCAATGTGAATGTAAAATACAATGTGTAAAAGAAAACATGAAACATGTATAGAATAACAAAATGTGTGAAGAAAAACATAACTTTTTTTTTTTTTTTTTTTAATATTCATTATTTATTTCCCACACTATAAATTTACATACATGTGTATACATTGGTGATAGTAAAGACAATATGATAATATAGAGTTAAGGCACATAACAGTTACATCATCTCATTTCGAATAAAAAGCAATAAAGATACACAGTACAGACAGCAAAAATAATAAAATAATAAAATACAGGTTTGTGCAACGATACATTGTTGTAATTATTATTATGTTTATTTTCCCTCCATTCTTGGAGATAATTAATAATATTTGATAAAAAATATATAAAATCATTTAATACATAGTACATAATGGACGCGTTGGATGGATGTCGGCACAAAGTACATTGAAAACATGACCCATCTCTCTACTTAAGGAGACGTCTTCCCCAAGGTCGGCGCTCCTCTTTGTAGAGAGATAAGCCGGCATTCAATCATCATAAAACTTTGCGTCGTATTTATACATTATAGTCGTAAAGGATATAGACATTTCATGAATGAATATAGGTGGCAATTACATTACATATTTATCTTCGCCCTTAGCTTTACATCTTATGAATACATGACCCACCGCTCTACTCAAGGAGACGTCTTCCCCAAGGTCGTCGCTCCTTTTCGTAGGGAAGTAGACCCATACTCTACCATCATAAAAAATTGTGTCATACTTATTTTGGCAGTAAAATAAAATATTACATGAATGCATATAGGTGCCAATTACATTACATATTATTCTTCGCCTTAGCTTTACATCTTATGAATACACTGGCCATTCATTAATAATATATAGATTTAAAATAATACAGTTGTTCCCAGGTGCCAATCACATCGCAAATTACTCCTCTGCCCTTGCAATATACATCTTCTGGACGTCTGTAGAAATGAGTTTTAAATCATCTATGTCAGTAATGTTAGTTCCTCCAAAACATTAAAATGGTATGTCTAATTTATTCAGTATTGAGTTCCATTTCCCGATAAAAAGTTGCCGGTTTTTGTTTTCTGTAGATATTTTTAATTCATCTTTAATTTTGTTTCTTAAAGTATTTTTAAAACCGTTCACACTAATGTCGTAGTTTCCAATTTTGGAGTTGTGAATGTAGTTTTTCGCGTATAACAAACAATAATTTAGAATTGTATCGCGATCGTCACGGTTGCCTATTTTTCCTAATAATATATCCCGGTCTCTCAAAAGTATATTGTCAAATAGGACAGATATTTCATTCCAAAAGTTCGCGACTGTCGCGCATTCTATATAGAAGTGTTGGGTGTCTTCTACTGCACCACGATTGCATTTATCACATAGATTAGACTCTTTAATTTTTCTGTTGAACAGAAATAAGTTACAAGGGGTGAGGTTAAGTAGTAGTTTGTATTGGAAACTTTGGATCTTTGGCTCTCGCGCAACTTGAAAAGGTAGTCTAAAAATAGATTTCCACTCTTGTTCTGTCAGGTCAAATTTTTCATTGAAATATCGTTTTCCTACGGGTTCCTTAAATTTGTTTTGTAATGTACGATGTGCCAATATATTCTTTTGGTACTAATATGTTTGATATTTATAATTGAATTTTTGATTTGTAAGTCATCAACTCCTAGTGTATTGATATTATCATTTTCGTTTTTTAAGAGAGTTTTCCACGAGCGTGGAATTGCGTGTATTATGCCGTAGTATGTTACGAAGGGTGTCAAGATATCATATTTTAGGGTGAATTCTTCGTATCCTAGAAAATCTCCATTTTCATTTATTAAATCTTTTACTTTAAATATGTTTCGAGCTTTCCAATCAGGGTAGTTGACACTTTCATTATTAATTGTTAACCATTTATTGTTCCAAATTGATTCATTCATAACGGTGGACTTGTCATAAGGTTCGGCATTGTGAATTAAGCTCCAGGTTTTCATCATCAAGAAAAACATAACATTGTACATGTATATCAGATAACAAAATATGCTCAGGAAAATGCATAAGTAAGGAAATAGCAATATGCACAGGTTCATGCTTTTGGAAGTAATGTTCAAAACATAGAAAATTACACAATATTTAATAATGCAACTATTGATTCTCAATTATTCAACATCTTTGCCTCACCTTTTACATTTTTCTGGAAGTACTGTTTGAGCTCATCCTTAGTTGGGCTGTAACCCAATGACCTCATGATCAATGTGAGGTCCTCTTCTGTAGAAATAAACCCCTTGTTCTTGGCATACAGGAAGAAGCACTCCTTGAACTCTGAAAGAGAAAGCAGATTTGTGCTGTTATTGCTTACTTTTGCAGTTACATTTTGATGGTTACCAATCATTAATCAGCAATCCCTTCAAGACTATTTTCAACTGATAGGCCTGGCCTGACAATGGGCTTTCAAGAAAAACTTAATAGCCCATGTACACAAATCAACTCACTGGTATAACTATGAAGAAAAAGTACACTGAAAGGAGGGCAGGAGGGATATTTTAAACATGTTATACATGTAGTCATAACTACATTTAGACAGTGGTCCAAATCCTGGGGTCCCTATGCCCAAATAAAATTTTGATAATGATTCCATGTGTTAAATGAGCTTGTACTACGATTTGGAACCTACATTGGTCCACCTGGAATAGCAATGGCAACCATGCAAATATTTGCAACCAATGTTTTATGTAACCATTGACTACTACATGTGTATAAACATCTATTGTATTATGATCCCTAGAGAGATAAAGTAGTTATGTAACTATTTCTCTCTAAGGTATTAAATGTTCATAAAAACCCTGTCCATTTACATACAGCCTACATGTAATACTTATTTCACATCCTGCCTGACTCATTAGAATATAAAAAACAAGAGTTAGCTAACGAATGGGACTCTCACTCTTTAGACACAGGTACTCCCAGGAATGGGGGTGTGAGGCCGCCTGCAACAAAAATGTTTTTTTCTGTGTTGCAAGCGGCCCCACTCTTATTTCCAGTGGAGCACCGGGTTTGTTTAACCTGCCACCCCCACCTACATGTAGGTGGTGGTTAATTTCGATAGGTTGTACGTTTGTATTTCAGACATACAATGACATAGGGGATACTTCTGCAAACAGGACATTTTGTCCCAGTATGAAATGAAGATTATTTTTGTCATTTATTCTAAATAATCAGATTTTGACACTCAATCAGTTAGAAGAAGGTTTAGGCAGAGCAGCGACCAATTATGTTTTACATTTTTCAAAAAACCACAGCGTTCTGAAATCAGATCCAGCATGGTGGGTGGTTAGTTGGAAATCCACCAAGGTGGGGTGGCAGATTAAACAAGCCCTGGAGCACCTGCGGTTCTAGAGGTTAGATCACAATATTAAAATGTCATCCTTGCGAAACAGGCAGACTGAATATAACAACTCAATTAAAAAGAGAAAAGATGTACAGTGCTCACCATAAAGAATTACAAAAGCTATGGAAATTACATGCTGTCGCACATGTAATTAATTCTTACCTCAGTGTATTCAGTGCTCTATTTGCTCCGTCCTAGTAAGTCCAGATATAGTGGAATTTGTGTACATAATGACAAATAAGAACTTAAAAATTTGAAGTGGAATTCACATGTTAATGCCGACTCTTCAAATGTTGAGGTAATTTTGGAGCCGGATTACGCGGCAATGTGGATTGGCTCCCAGAATGCAACATGATGCGTGTCAGCTTTCAAAATGCCGTTCTGCCATTTTGAAACCGTTCACGAGGAAATAAGGTTACCTGATGTTGCATTCTGGGAGTCAATCCTCCTTGGATCACAAACATGGCGATTCATGAAAACATTCGTTCGATTTGGTAAGGATGTATCCATCATTTGCATATAGCTTTGGATTCATTTATTGTGCTACTTAAAGTCAATAGGAATTATTTTTCTACCGCTTGGGAGAGTTTGAGACACGAAACTTAGAATTTCGCTCATTGTGACAACTTGTGACAACTGAGGGTTGAGATTTATTTTTGCATTCCACTTTACATGTAGTTTAGACTTATTACTCTGTTTTCCAGAAAGAAGCTGTAATTTGGCTATGCAAGTCTATTTTTGTAGACAAGCTTATTACTTTGCTACTTAGTAAGTAAAGTTTTTGTTTTCGAACTTTTCAAATGACTGATTGAAAAATTAATAATTTTTTTGGGCGTTGGCGATTTTTATTCAAAACATAGATACTCACCGTCGATGTCCGTTTGGCTGAAGAACCGCGTCTGCAAAATAATAAATATGATATGTATTACATTTGGATTTTCATTCGACTGTATCTAAAAATCCTAAAACCCAAACAAACACAGAAAAGAGATTCTAAGTAATATTTACCATTTTAAAACCCGGAAGTGTCGTTTCAAGTCTCGCGAGAACAATTAATCAAAATGAAACTATAAAAATATCCGGCATAGCGAAATCCTGCAATTTTGTACTCACCAAATTCAAAAAGTCCGGTCATATTCCCTTTTCTTACTATTGAAAATGGATTCTACCGATACTCTCCCGCATGAATCTACTCGTGGACGTTAATAAACTCCTCTTTGGTCCTTTACGGTTTTTTGCTTGTGAAGTTGAATAAAATCCCTTTTCGTGGTTCTTTACCGCCGGGGTCTGTCACGGTTTGGCCGTTCTGAAGTTGAAGTCCTTTTTGGCACTTCAGTAGTCCTTTATGGGGATTTTGCCCGTTTCAGTATAGATCATAGTTGATCCCCGTAAAGGACCAAAAAGGATTTGACACAATTAACTTTCTGTGATTTGTTTAAGACTCACTCCTTAAGTTCTCCTGAGAAGCAAGGACGCCATTGACCTAACCATGGGCTTTCAATTAGTTGAAACTGGAAGCCCATGACCTACAATGTCAACCAGAGACATATAAAACATTGTTTTATATGTCTAACTCGACTGAGGATGTGTTGATTTAATCCTGCATTTAATCAACAGTACATACATGTATGCAGGATTAAATCAATTGCATCGCCATAAAAGTCAATGCCATAGCCTTTTTAGGCCTTTTTGGCCAATTTATCAAAAAGGGCCTTAATTTTTCATAATTTGGGCCGAATATTTGGTTATGGTTTCCAAACTCAAAATTTGCCCCTTTGTTAATTTCTGGATCCGTCACTGTTTTCCATTGATCTCTTTCCCTACGGTTTGGCTCTACACCGACGGTTAGGGGCAGCGGGGGCAGATCTGCCCTGCGGCAGTATTTTTCCTCCGGATATCTCAATGTCATAAAAGATGGTCTTCAGTGAAAAAAAGTTTTTTCAAATCCAACAAGTATGCCAGTTGACAGTGCAATCGGTCTCGGGTAGTTAATCAGTAAGTTAATCAACATATAAATAGTCGATATGTCATACTCATGTTTAAAAGTAAGTGTCTGTCTGACATCTATTGTAACCACCGATATAACTCTCTCTAAGCCATTAATCCCGAGTCTGATAACTGAATAGAATTTGTACATCAAAACATTTATATACTGAAAATATCTTATCAAAAATTCATAAATATTATTTGGTAACTTTTCCAGCGTATGGTTTGTACCCACAGAGTCATGTATAAAACATATTATAAGTTATTGAATGATTTGAAGTGCAATACAGGATATATTCTGTTCGAGAAATTCCGTATTGGAACGAGACGAAGTCGAGTGCCAATACAGAATATCGAGACAGAATATACCCTGTATTGTACTTCAAATCATTCAATAACGTTTTTATCGTATGATCCTCTGTATTGCTACTGCTATTGTTCCCTCCGTACCAATATTTTCTGTATTGCGACGGAGATTATCAATGGGGACAATCTCAGTACCAATACAGATTGGTACAGCACAAGAACTGACCAATCAGAAGGCTTCATTTTACAGATCATACGATAATGTTCGATATTGCTCTGGTACCGGCCATTTTACGAAATACATCATCAATTAGTATCAAAGATCGATGATCCATTGGTGCTCATTCTCATATACTATACCGATAGGTCACTTATAATGGACATTTTCTGAAGAACAAATCGGATTCTTTATTAGTTCAGATGTTAGCTGGATATTAAGATCTCATAGAATTGCCATTGATTCCCCATTTATTTAAATGAAAGGAGTGATAAGTCATCGTCTAAATATTCTGATTAGGTCGCTTCTAGCATCACAGAATCCACGAACAAAAAGAAGAGCATTGTAACATGTACAAATTCCATTGCCTCAATTCATTTGATATACAGTTAGCTCATCCCAAGTTAATTATGTGTTTTCTCCTTTCTGATTATGTTCTCATTCTGCTTTATTAGGGTCTACATTTCCGATGTGTTTCTGGACTTGATACGATTCAAGGCCCCTTATCGTTGCCCGACCTTTGGATTTTCATAACTACCAACTAGGACGAGGGCCACTTTTGAACGGACTTACATTATCGTCGGTAAGACACGCATTCTCCATCTCTATCTTTCTGGAAGCACAGTGAGAGAGATGCTGTGGAGATCAGAATGATTTATATCGGAACGTATCTATAAATACTCGTAAAAAGAAACACGCATGTAAATATTTTGATTAGTATGGGGATAGAGGTCTATTGTGTCTATTGGTGTTCCACATTACTGCCATTGGTGTTCCACATTACTGCCATTGGTGTTCCACATTACTGCCATTGGTGTTACACATTACTGCCATTGATGTTCCACATTACTGCCATTGGTGTTCCACATTATTGCCATTGGTGTTCCACATTACTGCCATTGGTGTTCCACATTACTGCCATTAGTGTTCCACATTACTGCCATTAGTGTTACACATTACTGCCATTAGTGTTCCACATTACTGCCATTGGTGTTCCACATTACTGCCATTGATGTTCCACATTACTGCCATTGGTGTTCCACATTACTGCCATTAGTGTTCCACATTACTGCCATTGGTGTTACACATTACTGCCATTGGTGTTACACATTACTGCCATTGGTGTTCCACATTACTGCCATTGGTGTTTCACATTACTGCCATTGGTGTTCCACATTACTGCCATTGGTGTTCCACATTACTGCCATTGGTGATCCACATTACTGCCATTGGTGTTCCACATTACTACCATTGGTGTTCCACATTACTGCCATTGGTGTTACACATTTCTGCCATTAGTGTTACACATTACTGCCATTGGTGTTCCACATTACTGCCATTGGTGTTCCACATTACTACCATTGGTGTTCCACATTACTGCCATTGGTGTTCCACATTACTGCCATTGGTGTTCCACATTACTGCCATTGGTGTTCCACATTACTGCCATTGGTGTTCCACATTACTGCCATTGGTGTTCCACATTACTGCCATTGGTGTTCCACATTACACGATGCTATCTTTAAATAAAATTGTGTTTGAGTTACTCAATACTCAAAAAGGCAATACTTTTGCATTGCAGAAGAGATTTATTATTATCTAAGTCTATTGATAATTCAAGGAGCATTATTTTCATTCTGAATTCAATAAAATTAATTTAGAATCAGAATTGCAGATTCTGGCAGCACTGTTCGCGTTTAAGATTATACCTACGACAAGTTATGTTATGATATGATGGTCAGTTATGCGATCGTCTCTAATCCAAAAGCGGACAGCAGGTTACCTTGGTAATTCATTGTTGCCTATGCAATGGCAATTATAGCCATTCCATCATAATTGATGTTGTGATCCCATTCGGATCATTAGACCCCACGTCTAATGAAAAATGATCTCCATGAGACATAGAGCCTTGCACCGAAGCTATCTATCATATAATTTCTGACAGCCCCCAAGAATGTATATAAATCTTGTTTACTGGGTTATTTCGGTTTATCAACCATCAACTATCCTGCTCCTGTATTTTTGCCAAGCGTTCCACGAGGTGCGTAGTAGATACAACGGGTAAGTAGATATCACAGGAGCAGCACTTGGATGATTATCTAGACGCTCAAAATCTAAGTCGATGTAATTATACTTTAGGAGTTGTGAAACCATTGGAATGACTCTTTAATTGTAAATCATTTATAAGTGGATGCTACTCTCAACTTCGGTGATGAATGGCATTAGTTAGCTGGAACTCTTGTGGATCAAAGTGACAGTCACGCAAGGGGAAACGTTTTTCTAACATTTAATGATAATCCATCGACAGACAAGCAATGATACGGTATATCGATACGATAGACGTTTAGAGCATTGGGAAAGATTTACACAGTTGGCGCTGGATCATCAAAAGTACCCGTTATCACCATCATCAACGCCGAGGTCGTAACTTTGATCAGTTGTTAAAAAGCTATGATAACGTTTCTCGTTCCTTCCTGAGTCTAAAGCGGTTTCTTCGTGTAAATAAGTACAACCAGACTGAGACCGATCATACGATTCAGAAAGCAGTAAATGTTAGAACATTAAACTACTGATCAGAACTTAGTTTAGAAAGTCGTGTGAAGAAGGAATGATGAGTCTATAATTAGAGACGTCGGAGAACAAGCATTATTTGCGTTTACTTCAATAACAATGGCGTGTCATATTGTGTTTGTGGGCGCAATGGTAACTGCAATAGGAGCACAACCACAGGTAAAATGTATTTTTAGTAAATTACACTACTAGTTTAAAATATTCAGTTTCAGGTGTTTCAAATGGAAGATCAATGTGTGTACAACCTACGCTATATTAAAACTTTAGATTTGACATGATCGGAATAGGGACATTATTACAATACTTTTAGTAACGTACTAAAACATTGTTTCATCACATATATGAAACCCAGGATGTGAAACTAAGACTGACATCCATTGCGATTGGAGAACACTGAAGTCAGCAGAGAAGATAAGTGGGAAAACTACCGATACTGTGGTAACAATAGTTATTTTGTTTATTTGAATATTTTATATTTTATATAGTTGAACATGCACCTTTATTGCAAGATGTGTTAAGAGGATCACACGTACAATCTAAGCTGTTTACCTAGATTAATCTTAATGATGAGTAAGAAAATCGAAAACATTGTATCTTTTGATTATGTTCGTTGTAAGAATCTATCCTAGGAATTTGTGAGAAAAAAATGAATTTGAGGAGACACAGATCAAACCATCAATGGTGCGTTAAGAAGCACACCATACATAGTACAAGGGTCAATTTGAGTATTGTAAATAAATTATTAGTGACAATGTGCCTCTATTAATTAAGTGACGTAATTCATCGATTCGAAACACGCTGCTGATCCTAGATCGTAAGAAATAAGTGAACAGAAATAAATTCGATGATCTGTTCCCCGGCTTTGAATATTTTCGATTTTTTGTTTATCCGAACAGGGGCGGATCTGGGAACCAACAAGGGGGTCTTAGAAAACATTTCTGCGCTTGCGCGGAAAAGATTTTGGGCCCCTAAAACCAAAAAGTGGGCCCAAATTTTGAGGCCCATTTTCTTCAAAATTTGGCCTAAAATTAA